CGTTGTCTTAGACAAATGCGGGAAAAAATATTGCAAGCCAGGGTTTTCGTAAACTAAGGCAAGTTTCATTCATGCAGTGAATCGAATGCAAATGGTTTTAGCTCCTTAAATACATTGCCATGGGACAATATTATATACACGCACATTGCAAATGCGTTTTGATTAGTATATATATAAAAGATGTTTATTTTGCACATAATATGATATACACACATCATGAGTGTGTGATAGTATTTAGTATTTTACACAGGATATGTACCAGCCATCGTCTATTAAACGCGTGTTGAAATTAAACCAGGAATTTCTAGCCGGTATTTTAGACAGCAAATGTCTGCTTATGTAAGAGGGCCAACGGCGTTAACTGTCTAACGAATAATGCTATTTCGGGCAATTTTAAACGTAATAAATAAGTAAAACTGACGAGTGTTTTAAAAATATGCTATTTTTAGCTTATATGGGCAAAGTCACCATAAACATAATTGATAAAGACCATAATAGGTCCATAATAATGGAATAGCTGAGGTCGGTAACGGCAAACGGGTAGCAAAGGTAGAAATTGATGCAAATGCTTAATAACTTACTGGACTGTAAATCTTATCGACACCATTAGCACCCTCATGTAAATTATGGTTTAAATGGTTATTACTAACACACAGTAATGACAGTATAAATGGTAGGGGAAATGCACTATTCGACAACGTGACATACGAAGAAACGTGTAGAAGGCCCCTGGAGATGCCCTCATTATCAAATTGGATTCATATATCCAGTTCTGCCCTACGGATTTCTTTTGTAAGGGGCTGTTTACATGAGCTCGGTTACCCGAGATTCAGCGAAGCGTGAGATGATTTTGAGGTATTGAAATGAGCAGATAACATGATCCTGGCAGTCGTATAATCACCACAACAATAGCATGTGCTTGTTTGGTGTCATAAAGACTTATTTCAATACCTCAAAGTCCTCTCCCGCTTCGTTGAATCTGGGGTAACCGGGTTCATGTAAACAGCCCTAAGTGGAATAACTAATTAGGCCTTTGTTAGACGTCGCATTTTAGTCGCGTCGAATGCAATTCAAACAATAGAAAATGAGATGGTAAACCTCATTACACTTCATTATCATCTCATTATCTATTGTTTAATGGCATTCGACGCGACCAAAATGCAACGTTTAAGTTTTCACCAGGCCTTATAAATATTTGTCAAGCGCACACTTAGCACATTAGTCACGTCGCTTGATAGAGAATATCATCTTTGATAGAAATATCATGTTTAATAATCGGCTCTTAGGAAAAGAATGACAGAATATCTCAATTTGGTCCAATCAGACTAGGAATATGTGCAGGTCATAAATGTCACGAGTGACATGCGCGCGTGCTAATTTCACCCGTGTGTATCAGTTTACTGTTGAGCACCAGTCTTGAGACTTGAGGTATCTTTGTCTTCGTGACCAGTTCGATCATCCTCGAGGGAGCGGGCCATCGGCTGCAATGCCGAAGCTTAGAGTGAGAAAATTTTGTGCGTTTGCATTGCCAAATCTGACTAAAAGTTTTCGTAAGGAGAAAGGAACAAGTACAGATCCATTTGCGACCCTTCAGTTCGAAGGTAATCAATCTATATTTGTATAATTCATCTTTATTGAGCGGTTTTTCCAAGCAGGTGGTCAACAAGCGCCAGGTACATGATTTCAACTAATGAAAATGTAAGACATACTTCAATTCTCGTTTATGGTGAATGCTATTTGGATGTTGATAGTTTAGACAAGGAGGAATATGTCATTCGTTTATGATATAGAGGGATTTATTTCATTCGACATCAGAGAGAATAAATAAGTCGGGGTTAATATATAATGAAATGCGGAATGGATTACTGTGTTTAAACGTAATACGGTACTCTGAGGAACATGGTTTGGTAAATAAGATGTATGACTTGCATGTGCAGACACTGTATGGCCTATGGACGATAATATGGCGATGTGCTGTACGTCTGAAAATTGTAAAGCATCCCTAATTTGCACACATGCAACTTTTCTTTAGCAAATTTTCAGCTTTAAGGGCTATTCACATAAGCCCGGTACCGAGATTTAACGAGATATTGAAATGAGTAAATAACACGATTCTGGCAGTCGTGAAATCATCCTAACAATAGCATGTGATTGTTATGTTTCAAAAAGACTTTTCAATACCTCAAAGTCCATTTTACACTTCGTTAAATCTCGGTGACCAGGTTGATGTGAACAGCAGTGGCGTAACCAGCCCGACAATTTAGTCTTGCTATGCTAATATTTTGGTGTTCATTGAGTGTTAAGACAATGAATTTCTAAAGAAATGAATAATGATGATAATAACAAAAAATTTGCATGGCATGACTAAATTGCCAGACCGGCCACGCCACTGGTGAACTTAGCATTCATTTGAATCATTTGTCAAAGTGCAACTGCCGTAACAAATTTCTTATTTCTCATTCACACATGAAATTTGTCAAAAATATGCCATTACTATACAGGGTGTCTAAAAAAAACGCAACCGCTTAATATTCTAAAATTCATATTGTTCATAAGCTCAATAGATTTTATGCCCCTGGGATTTTAAAATGGCTTCTAATCGTACAGTTCAACTGCTAATGGTCAAATCAGCTAACCTAATAATGGTGCAGCTAACAACCGAACAACGAGTTTTTATTGTCGTGCATGATAACTTGAATGCTAACTGTCGACCTTGTAAAATAAATTGTAAATAAAATTTTACTGGTTAAATACTTTCAATTCAGCTCGTTGGTTTACGCACCCGACTTTGTTTACCGACGATTGTGCCGCTAGAATATGATTACAAGCTTTCTCGCATTCCAGGGGCCAAAAGTCTTTTGTGTTGTAGAACAAAGAGGATATTCATGAATATTAAGTGGTTGCGTGTTTTTTTATACACCCTGTATAAACGTCGAACCCGCCTGGCGCAAGGTCAGAACACCCGGCCGATTTCTACTGTAATTTTTAGTGGGACTTATTTTGGTAGATTTGATCGAGTGGAGAAGTTATGGATGTGCAAATAAAGGCATCTGTACGCAGAGAATTTATAAATATTCTATTCACTCGTTTGCATCCGTCAAAGATAGGACATCAAAATGCCCTCCTGATATTTTCCACTTGCCTATCATCCCCATGCTAGTTGTGTGTGAAAGTTAAGTATATGGTGCTGAATCCAATTTCCATAGAAAACCTTTTACTTGTGCAACAAGGGGTTATATTTTGGATAGTTTGGCATAAGGGTCAAGCTAAATAGAACTTGCTTTTATGACAACACGCGGAAAGTCTGCTGTTACACGAAATTTGATTGGGTCCACAAAACTATCGAGCTAATCAAACTTCGTGTAACATCAGACTTTCCGCGTTTGACGTCATTATGAAAAAGGTCTATTCAGTTGGCCGGGTAAAAGATGATATTATATGCAAGCTGTGACCACGCCCTTTCCTTCAAATGGGCATGGTCCCAGATTGCAACTTCCCAATCTCAATTTCGTTCCGATGGGCCTTCCTTCTTATGCAAAACAAAAATTATTCAGTAATAACGCAGTTATCTACCTCTTACTAATCTACAGCAAAGAATCTTTTGACTGCTAATACGACTTGTATGAAATCCAAGACTGATTTATTTCTTGCATTGTGCTAAACCACATACGCCAGGAGTTGCATGTCCTTCTTAGCTGAGAATTAAATAAGCGTAATGTATGACAGAGGTATTCGTCGTCCCGACTAAGCGTGTCTTCGTTTGGTTTCTAAGGCCTGTTTTCATGGAGCGAGTTATCCCGGCTAGGCGAGATGAAAACCGTATATAATGAAAGACAAATCAGGTTAAGCCTTTGATGTGATGCGCTTTTCATCTCGCCTACCCCGGGATACCCCGCTCCATGCAAACAGGCCCTTAAAAACTCAATTTAATACCTGAAAAAATCATTCGAGGCTTAGTTTAATCTGGGGTATTCAGGATCATGTCTACAGCCAATAATATTATCCAGTTTAGAACATGTGACTAAGATTAACATAATACCAATCATTCATGTGATCATCTCTTGAGAGCCATAAAAGGACCTGTTTACATGGAGCGAGTTGTCCCGGCTAGGCGATGTGAAAACTGTATATAATGAAAGACTAATCAGGTTAAGTCTTTGATGTGACGCGCTTTTTACCTCACCTAGCTGAGATAACTCGCTCCATGTAGACAGTCCAAAGACGCCAGTCACATTGAATTAATCCAATATCGGCATACTTGTTAGCTCTTCCCAAATCCAATTTGATCTTCTGACCTTCTTTGGATCTTCTACGTGTTTCTATGGTTACTGGCCAGCAGATTAGCTGCAAATTTTCATGAAATGCCTTTCTCCATTGGAAAACGTATCATAGGACTGACAAATATGCTATGCATGCTATAATTCACAATTTTCACAAAAAAGCTACTTGAACAGCACGAGGATGGACTAGCTAAGAATTTAAAAGATTTCTAAATTTCGGCTTGTAAAAAGTATTTTGCAACAAAATCGGAGGAATTAATTCAATATTCTGCTCTTCGGCCTGGAATGAGGCTATATACTAGTCAACAATTTAGGCGATCGATAAATTTTCCCGCATTGATAAAACTTTGCTTTAAACAGGAGCTGCTCGTCAAAATTTCATCCAGTCACTTCCATTCAGATCAGTGAGGAACATATTTATGTCGCCGAATTAAAGTTTTGCCACCTGCAGCTTCAGTTTTGAATTTATGAGGGTTTAGAATGTAGATTAGAAGGTGAAATATATATACATTGTACATTTACATTTTACATGCACGATCAACGTCAGCATTACGTGACCATGACAACGGCCTTTACAAATCATAATTCACAACTTATTTCACCTTGGGGCAGTTATGAATTTTATTTGTTTTCTTCCCTGCTTGCAAAAGAAAATACAATTTACATAAATTATAAAGATGATTTAAACGGTGTTCTCAAGACCGTCACTCAAATGGCATAAGATAAACATTAATTTATATTTAGAATGGAATTAAACGCCCCGCTATCAGAGCTGGCGTTTAAGTTTCCCCGAAGTTGAAAAATATGTCAGATTTAGTGGTTTTGTTGCTGTTCATTTCAAGTGTCTGACAGCCCCCACGGTGGGAGGCTTACAAATTTCGTTTATATTACTGTACAAATACTCTCGCCAGCTGTGGACAGCGTAGAGGGAAAGCACAATTAAAGATGGCGTTGCGAATTGTGACTGCTTGTGCGAGTAACCTACCGAACGTCGATAAAATTAGCAAAAGTGACCCGTATTGCATCTTATCTTTCCTTGGTAATGTACCCAATTGCTTTATCTTTCTATTTCAATAGTTCTTATAACCTTCGCATAACGGCAGTTCTGTAGCTTTGGGCAATGCTTCGCGTGACTGGGTAAACTATATTTTTTGCACGGCCATGCAGCAGTGTTCTGTTCATACGCGTAATAATTTTGCCTCTACATGCACTAAGAACCAGGAAAATTAGACTAGTTTATGCGATTCAAAAATTGTCACGGATTATATTAATACTTCGGTTATAATACCGACGAAGTATAAAGTGATAACGATCGTATATGCAAGGCCATAGTCATAGAAATTTCTTTCTATATCAAAAGCCAGAGGCGATATGATAGGCAACACAGAGGGGTTTTAGTATTTCATAGTTCTAGTTTAATTGCTTTCATCTATCCTGGGAAAAACTATATATTTAGGCGTCTCGGTATATTTTATACAACAATATTTTTGTAATTTTGCAAGACGAACAACAATATAATTAATTAGTTTGTAGTTATACACCAGGTATGTATTTATTACTTCAAAGCTTTCGGCCCTTAAACCCGGGCTTTCGTATTGAAGAATGAATGTTATATTGCGCTGGCGAAGGCCCAGATTATAGCGAAAAGAGATCTTCGTCCTAGGGAAAGACGTGATGTTCCTACAAACTAAATTTGAAAACTTTGTTTGGCTTTACGTTTTCGTAATATATGATGGAGGATCTTTAAAAATTGTTTGTTTTGTCTGTATTTTGAAATTTTCTTGCATGTCGGATGATTTTATTTGCCTAAAAAGTTTTTATTTACCAAAACATTGTAGTTGATGCCGAAGGCTATTTGGTTTAGCAAAGCGCTTATATATACCAGAGTATATAGTCATGGACTATAGTGTCATATATTAACATAGCGCACGCTGCAATTTTGTTTGTAGTTTTGAAGACCTTAATGTACTTTCTTTGCGATATCGCTAAGGCATATTATAGGAGAGAATGCATGAGCTATAAAGAATTGGACGTTTTTCAAAACGAATAGCAAATATATAGGTCATAAATATTATCAAACCTTCTAATTCCTTTTCTGGGATATCTGCGTGGCAAAATCTTGGATTAGTTTTGAGGCTATATTCACATGGGGCCGGTCGAATTCGAGACCTTTCTTGAGTTCGGACGGCCAGTTTGAGTTGATTATACCGGCGGTAAAATTGGATAAAGTTTGACCCGGTTCTACGCGTGTGTTCACATGCATCAGCTACACGATTTTGAGCGGTCTTAAATTTGCCTGTCTTCAATTTGCTTGCATGAGCGAGGCTCTAGGTCTGTGTAGGTCCAAAAAAGCTTTCTTAGAAGACATTAGAATATATTCAATTAAAGAAAACGGTCTATTCCTATATCTCCTGTGAATCTAGAAGCCATAGTGTAATAGCGAAAGAGGCAAATCGACAGGCTCATATATAAATTGGCATTCCCTAGTTTTTGCAATTGAAAGTTAATTTTCCTATTGAAGAGGTCGGAACGTTAACTGGTCAAATATCAAACGTATATATCTTTTGATTGATATTTTGACTATATGTTGGACATGTTGACGTTCTTTTATAGTTACCGCTGTATTGAAATTATAATGTGCGAGTTTAAATCGTTCATAATTTAAGCTAATTTGTTCCAAGTATACTAATTCTGAGTCAGATTGGAAAAACAGGGTTTATCAGCCTCAACTTTGACTTATAGCATGCTTCAAACGTTGCGCCCTCTTGTTTTGGACGACAACAATAGTTACAACGAGTCATCTCAACTGCTCAAGTGTGCTCCTTTTGTTTTTTAATTTAATACGCACGACTTTAGAAAGAGCCTGCATGGAAGGAAAAGGCAAGGAAGTTTAGGGATGAACAGTTGAGCCTTTCTTAGGCTACATAGAGGAAGCCATTCAAACGGAGCTGTCTTCTATGTCTATATGCAATGTTCTATATTCATCGCAATTCGATGCAGCTGTCGTAATAAATGTTGTTTGTGTGTTGATGTCGAACCGCTTAACGCATTAGTTTTAACTTTGAACGACTTTAACAGATCGAATTTTAATTGTAAAAACCTCGTAAATAATAGACGACCGTTCTTGTTTACGTTTAAGGAATAACGAAAAAAACTGAAGTGATTCACGACGAATTAAATCCAGTATGGAACGAGGTACGTCATCGATCATTTGAACCACGGGTTGTAATTTGGATGAAAGTTGTATGTATATGCATATTCAATTGTTTGCAAATACGATTAATTTCTTGTGTGGGCGAGAAAATTATTATAATTTCACAAAAATGAGCGATTCTAATGGCTTTAAAATGATAACCTTTAGAAGTATATTTTGCCAAAGTGAGTGCAGTCGTTAAATCATATTTCTAATCGAAAGAATCGGAAAATTTTGTGTGGACATACTTCAATACTGCATGCGTCACATAGACACATACTTGCATGCATCTTTTATGAAACCAGATGGCTGGTTCATGATCGCATCGGCTCTTTTAGCCCGGCGATAAAAATATCTGTGATTAATTCACTCACTGACATCCCTAGCATGTTTCTGTATTTGCAATTTGTTTAAAAAAAGGTCATGTGAAATAGTCCTTTTAGAACCACCTTAAATGAAATAGATTTCAAGTTTTGCCCCCATGAGCCACGTGCAAAGCTGGAAAACATCCTACTTCAACACATGCATGAGAAATATTTTTTATTTCGACCAATAACTGTGGAAATAAGCCATAACGCGAGAACGAGGCTCAGGGGCCAAGAATAAGGTTTCTATACTTATTTGTCAAAATTAAACATTATTTTTCATGCATGTGTTGAAGAAGGATGTTTTGCATCTTTGCTCATAGCTTGTGAGAGTAAAACTTGAAATCCATCTCATTGAAAACGACAATGTTGTGACGTAAATACCGAAAAGGTCTATAAAAACCTCCATTGTTCACAATTGGATGCAGTTCTGCATAATACTGAATCCCTAATCCTAAATCAAATCTCAAGGATTAAATTCGTGTATTTAGGATTTACTAAACCGAAATTCATCAGTCCCTCGGGAAACCTGTCTTTAAACTTGCTTTTATATAATTATTTTCATGAAGGCGTTCGAATGGGATTTGCAAGGCAGAGCATTGGTTCCAGAGGACAACCTGGTCGTGCAAGTAAAAGACTGGGAACGAGTAGGAAGGAACAGGTCAGTGAACGTGATAAACACCAACCAACTGTTTGCAGAGCTCGTTAATGTTCAAGCGTTTCCTTCTTTGTAAAGCCGGTTTTCCACTAGCGATATTTTTCGCGCGAAGCGACATTTTACTTTTGTTTCAGAGCTCTCAACTGCAACCATCTGGAACAAATTGCTCAAATACAAAGGAATAAAGTCGCTTCGCGCGAAAAATATCGCTAGTGGAAAACCGGCTTTACTCTAGCATTGCTCGACCTAACCATAGTCGTGTACCCATTTTTACTCGAGTTTTCTTGTTTTATTATTGAATTCTACAGCGGCGCGCAGATTTTCCATTAATCGCAAAATCAACACGCAAACACGCTGAGAATGTTTGCATCTAATTAAAATAAACTGTCAAGCATTGTGATTGGACAAAATTACTTGAAGTAGCGAGCTTGCGAGTTCCGACGAGTGAATGAGAGCCTTAACAGGTTTGCTCTGCCCTTCACAGTGTACTAATATGTTAAAATTAGCTTAATTAGGCCTTTGAACGAAAGACAGTTGAATTAAAACCGATGTTGGATGTTCTTCTGATTTTCTAGACTTCTTGGAACGGCGACGATATCATTACGAGATTTGGTACGTGACGATTGTAATAGCATGCAGGCTGATGTCAACCTGCTGGATGGCAATCAAAGAACGACACAGGTACTGGAATAAGGACTACAATCAGGGTAAACTTGGGATCGTGCGGGTGTTTTCCCGTTTTCATAAATAATCTGTGTTCAAACATGGCGGTTTGATTGTGAAAATGACTTTGATAGTGTTCAGGAGCGATTTAGTTTGGAAAATATTCTGCCGATTTTTTACTTTGCTGCACTTTATTGTTAGTGGCTCTGTGTGTACTGTCTAAACACTCGTAATTTGGAGAAAAATCCGCTTTTATCTGGTACAGTGACATGCTCAAAAACTGTCATTAGAATATTTTGTTTCAACTGATTATTTCCATCAAGTGACTGCTTCCATTGATTAAGTAATTGTTTTCATTGATTACCTGTTTTTTTTCATTGATTGAGTGATTGTTTTCGTAAGACGTTTTCTCAAAGGAGTGTTTTCATGACTCGTCAATCAACATTTTCATATTTAATAGCTATTTCTGGAAGACAGTTTCTTTCAGCCCATCAGTTCAGTTCGTAACAATGCATGCGAGACCCTTAAAAATTGCTCAAACTCCAGTTCATATTTCTTTAGAGGCGTAGCGAAGGTGTTATAGAATTATTCAGGCAGCAAGTTCAAAAAGTAAAAAGCCGTTTGTTTATTTATATACGGTCCTCTGTAGGCAAAACTTTCAATGCAGTTGGAATACATTCCTCCAGAGGCCCAGAAAGATGCCAAGGGTGAAAATGCCGAGGACAAGGATGCAGAAGGAGAGGAAGAGGAACAGGAGACTGGGATCGAGGGAGCGTCAGGGTAAGTTTTTGTTTGCTGAGAAAATAACTAAATATCACAAACATTATTCTGACGAAAGATAAAGCTATATGAAAGAATTAGTATACCTCTGAAGGAAGATGCTATATCAAAAGAAATTCCTCTCATCCTATAACAAAGCTTGTCAACTGAACTAGGCAGACTAAGGGCGCTTTCCTTTATACAATAAAAACGGCCAGACCGGTCCTGTTGAATTTCCCTACAGACAGATTACCGATATCTTAGAGTGTTTCAAGAACTCGACACTCACGTATATCGTTCTTAACTTCTTCCTACACGGATATTCTCGAATGAATTACTCAATTCAAAATATGACATTCAATTCCTATTGTTCCGAGGCGTGGCCTAATGTAGGATACACCTATGAATGGTTGTCTCAATTAAACTTCATTAAATTCTCTAGGAAGGGAAGAAGAAAGATAAGGACCGCAAGATATCAACTTTCCGATAAACCACAAGATTTTCAGGTAAGTGAAAAACGAAGTAAAAGTCATTTAAAAAGACATCACAATTTTAAGACAGGAATTTTTTAACAAGAGTAACTCGATGTATGATAAAGTAAACTGATAAAATAAACTGTCCACCATGGAAGCTGTATTTCTGGTTGCAGATAAAATCAAACTTCCCAAATAATGATATATTTTGTTTTATAGATTCGTATCAAAGTAATTGAAGGTCGACAGCTCACAGGTCTAAATATCCACCCTGTCGTTCGCGTGAGCGTTTCCAACCAAGCCAGGCAGACGAGAGTAAAGAGATCGACAAATAAACCATACTATAACGAAGTAAGTATTCTTTTTAACAGATTTTTTTAACATCCCTAGGCCTATAAGAGTCGTAACATCATAAGATTCATTAAATCAATGTAAGAATCGTAACTAAGTCCTAAATAAGAGTCGTAACATAAATTACTAGATATAATATTGGAGAACTGTTTGAAATTGTCTGTGATTTTCATTGAACAGATATTCTTTTTCAACTTTCAAATGGTCCCGTCTGAACTATTTGACGAAATAATCACGTTCGAGGTAGAGTATATAGCTTGAAACTAAACTTCATGTCCCCAATCCATCAGCCTTCACATCATTGTTAATCGCTAAATATTTCTTTGTTTCTGGTGTAGGTGTTCAATTCGAGAAAGTTAAGAGCAAACGCAATGATCGGTTTCTTTAAGGTGAGTAATTCCAGAGAAATAGAGCCTTCCTTTAAATAAGAAACCGCCTAAAGACTACATATGATAAAGTCGAAACTTTCCGAAAAAAAGTTTAAATGTAAACTGCTTGATGGTTTTTTACACAATATTTATCACAAGAACTCGTTTCCCACTTACCAAATCTCTTGCTACAATATAGAATTATTCTTGGCTTATTTTGATGTAGATTATTTCCAAAAAATTGGCACAAAACGTCACTACAATACTTTATTAAGTCTAAGCTATAAGAAGATCATTTCCATGTCAATAATTTTATATTTTATATTTACTTTATACACGAAATACGTTTCAATTCCTACTGGATCTGGTTGGTACAACTACATTTGATAACAACATAATCGTTTATCTTTTTGTAGTTGGATGTTGGAATGGTTTACGATGAACAAGGCAAGTCTTGTTTAACTTTATATCCATGCTAAAGGAAATGAATTGGAGCCCAAAATCTCAATCATCATTGTTAATATGTTATTTATAACTACACGAGTTGGTTATTATTTACTATATATAAAGTGATTTCTGAATGATACAAGATATTTTTCGTCAAAATATAGATATAAGATGAAAACTCAATTGTGTGAAATCCTGAATAGCAAATGCAATCAATCATTCTAAGGTCCTAGAAGGGACGAACATATGCACCAGCTTTGTGCACGTGAGCGAACTAAACTTATATGATTTTCAGAGCACGCTGTTAGCAGAAAATGGATCTTACTCACTGATCCAGAAGATAAAATGTCTGGCGTGAAGGTATTGTATGCTTTACGAACTGTGTTGATAAATCCCTGGGAGAAACGGCAAGAAACTTTTGACAAATTCGATTTGTACTTCAATTATAGGGCTATTTGAAAACATCCATATGTGTTTTGGGACCTGGTGACAGAGCTCCGGTGAGTAAAACACTCCGTTTTTTCTCTTTCCTTAATGATTTCATTTACATAGAAAAGATTAAAATATGTCAGAAATTTCCATCAAGTCAGATATGTTGAATATTGGGCGCTTGTACTCACGTAATTCATTAAATTGTTGTTGTTTTTGTTGTTATTGTTTGTTGTTCCTTGTTTGTTGGAATTGTTGTTATTCCTCGCATGTTTTCCGAATGTTGATGTGTATTTTTAGTCCATGGAAGACGTTGATGCAGCCGATGAAAGCACCGAGGATGTTGAAAGGTATTCTTTTTAATATATAGGGGTGTCTCGAAAAATAGATACATTTTCGTAGTCAGTGGTGGAAAGGAAAGTTTACGCAGGAAAATTTGAATTGAATGAATAATAAATAACGTCGGCACGAAGTGGAAAAACCTATTACTCTATCATCCAATGTACACATTGAGTAGTTACTTTTAAACTCTCATCTTTGTTTTAATGAAGATTAGAAACTATTGGTTTACAAACTGTTATGATGATATTCCCTCTTGCAGTAACCTCCTATGTCCTGCTGGAGTGATGCTTCGTCCTGGAATGTTTTCACTGAAAGTTTACAGAGCCGAAGATATTCCACAAAGTATGAACAATTCAAGCTCTTCATATAGTCACATTTGTTCATTTTGCACAATTTCGTTAAATTATACTCGCCTCCTAGCTGATATAGACAGTATTAGCTACGATTCTTATCTTTGATGCCCCAAATGGAGGAAATCTCAAATATCAGGAGAAGAATCTGCATGATCATGTGAACGTGTGCTTTTCTTCCTATAGCTAACACAATATACCGGTAGTAACTTGTCCCTTTTTGTGTAGTGGACTCTGGTTTTGCACAAGGAATAAAGAAAATCTTAAATGTTGGTGAGGTAAGCGAGATTTTACATTTGGGTGTTTTTTTTTTTAAAATGATACCTTTAATCATCTCCAACCAGGATGAACCAAACTTGCATATAAAATTATGGGACTCTGTCGTTGTCACTGTCAATCATCTGGAACTCTGTTTTACACTGTTGAATTTTCCTGCATTCACAGCTACATTCCTGAATTCGTGGATAATTAATTGATATTCGTTTTCCTCAAAAGTTTTTTATTTCTTTCAAAATCTTTCAACACAGGAGCAGAAAGAATTAGTTGATCCTTATCTTGTGTTTTCCTTTGCTGGAAAAAAGGTTAGTTTAATATACTGCGGAAGAATTACGAGTATACTTTGTAATTAGGTATCCATAGAATTGGTTGTTAAGTTCAGTTTGTTTTATTTCGTTCTACTTTCGATGTTATCCAGCGTATGTGTTGTTAGCAATAATAACAGGAATCTTTGTGTTTATTTTTTTCTAATCCTCCACCATTCCAGAGAAAAACGCGGACACATTACAATTCTGATCACCCAGAATTTAATCAGGAGCTCCATTTGCCTTTCAAGGTAAGAATTCGTATTATTACAATAGTTTTTTTGCTTGAAAAAAATCACATTCAAATGCAGGTATAGAAATAGCAGTTTCTTCACGTCTGAACTTGTAATCTTGCTCGAATTCCTATATATCATCTTTCCATCATAGATTTTTAACAGGTTTTGTGTAGAAAGCTTGAATTCGTCTAGAATACAAAAAATAATTTTCCGAGCGAAATTTCCTCTTCTGAAAAGAAGCACACAGTCAATAGGTTAACAATGCCCTGAGAGAGCTAGGTTTATAATGTCGTAGTTTAATCTACCACGATATGCGATGGAGAGCGAAATTGCAAGAGGAAGTGTCTTACCACAACATCATAAAAACCATAACCAATACTTCATTGATATTACTTTACTTTGGTTTAGTTTCCATCGATGTGCGAAAGACTGAGGTTGCGAATGATGGATTGGTATGTTTGAAATGTTTTTTGTTCACTGTTTTTCATTTGCATTCATAATTGCGGGAAAGATATTTCTCTTGTTTCATCCGTCTAATCTTTTGACTTTCCAGCTCTGCGTTCACAGGCTGCAGACAAATTTGTCAGTAGCTGGTTTTACCATTATACTTTATGAGATATCTGTCTTACTAATATCTGTCTTACTTATTTGTCAAGCCGCTATTTCTTTGTATCTGCACAGGGATCGTTTAACAAAAGATGATTGTATTGGCACCGTTCATCTTCCGCTGTCACAAATCTCTGGACAAGGAGGAGATGGTAGATATAAAATTAAGAATATTGAGAATCTAGTATAATTACTAGCTGTTTGTTCTACTTTCGTATGCTTTTCTATTTTAGGCTTCTTACCGACATTCGGTCCATGCTTTATCAATTTTTACGGTTCCACAAGGGAATATAGTGACCTTCCAGACGAACACGACGAATTGAATATGGGCCAGGTTTGTACCTTTCTTTGAAATTTTGCTTTTTGAAGTTTCTTTTCGGCTTGCAAACAAAGCGAACACGGCTAATAACTATATTCTACTTTGAAGAAACACGGTAAACTTAGGACTTCTATAAATCGAGGCATGTTTCTCTTTAACTTCTTTGAAGGGTTAAAACGAGCGAAAAGATTACTAAAATGCATGACTGTCCTTATTTGTACACCCGTAACTAATTCACTCATTTGCAACAATCAAAAGAAAAATATCACACATAAAATCGCAACAAGCTTATTTTTATTTTGTCTTCTGTTTAGGGTGAGGGTGTTGCATACAGAGGTCGTCTGTTAGTTGAACTTGAATCTGCCCTGGACTGCAAAATTGATGAACCAGTTGAAGATATACAGAGCACCGACATTGTCAGAATACAGGTAAGTCGTTTTTGGAAGTCTTGCGATGATGACTTATATTAAATTTATTATTGTACGGACAGCAAGCATTGGAAAGAGTGGGTTGAGTAATGTATGCATAGCAAAGGAGCTTTTTTCTTAGATTTTCTAGAATAAGTTATAAGAAATCGCCTTTTTTTCACCATGGAAACAAATTTTATGTATTTCCTAATTCATGGTTTGGTCAGATGGTGTATGCAGTTGTTCCCGTATTACTAACACGCTAAATAAGCCACTGTAGAATTCTGAGAGACATAAATCTCGTTCTTTAGTCATTCTTACGAAGACGAAAGTTCAAATTGTTTGCATGTTTCTTGGAAGCATTGATGATCAGCATTCAAGATTCCCCAGTTGAATTTGAAGTCAGCATCGGTAAGATAAACTACAACATTTGAAAAACGTTGAAAAACATTGTTACTCAGTAAACTAGTCCCCGTTGCTTTAACCAGTGCGTTATCCGACCATTTGTGGGGGGGGGGGAGGAGGGAGCTCATCGTGGGGCTGCTTTACACGCCCCTCTACCAACCATGTCGATAGCCTATTTACTTCTACAAAGTCGATGCTTTACATAAAGCCTTTCCGTTAAATTTCTGTGGGTTTATTGTGTTGTTTATTTGTAGGAAACTATGGTAACAAGCTGGACAAGTCTGTAGCACCGTCTTCGTCGACGACTCCACCAACGAACGCAATATTTGATGGTTGTTACTATTATTACTTACCTTGGGGTAACACGAAGCCTTGTATATCCGTAGACAGTCACTGGGAGGATATCTCGTTTCGTCTGGATCCTTTGAATGTTTTGTTGGAGTTGTGTGAAAAATTGGTAGGTTTGATGTGAATAATCCTGCAGCATATTTTGATGCCTTTAAAGATTACTTGAGCCATTTCCGTAATGCCAGAATACAGCGACAAAAAGTCTGTCTGTATTAATTGGTTGATTGATTTTTTATAAAAGAGATTTGTAATCATTGAAAAGATTTAATTGGGGTTAAACATTAAAAATCGAGCTCTTGATTTGGTTAATTAGTTGCAAGTTACTATAGCTTTATATTACTGGTGGTGTCATCGGCATTGTTATGATATATAGGAAATGAACATGGAGAAAGTGACATTGAGTTTGGAATCAAACGACTCAACAGCGGAAACAGCAATTTTACTCATTGCTCTTTTGGATGAGCTGATCGCGGAGTGCAAGTTCGTATTTATTTTCATCTTTTATAATACTCGTTATACTGCGTAATATACCCGGGGATTGGGGGAGGTGGTGGGTTGCTCATAATTTATAAGCACCATCTATTATCACCTAATATATCTTCCAGATATCTGTTCATTTCTATGGTCAGAACTGCCGTGAACAATTTTTTATGTCATTGAAACATCTGTAGATTACCTAATTCATCTGTTAATTAGGAAACCATTGCCTTCCATAAATGCAAAAACACCAGGTGTCAATGAACTGGATCTTCATCTTCACGAAGCTAGAGTGTTGGAAATGGTGAGCATTCAAGTTCTATAATAATAACTAAGAAAATCTTTTTAGACCGTGCAGGTTTCTATGTTAGGTAAATTTTTATTTCACGAAGCGTATCAAATGATGCTTTTTCATCAGATTGTGTTCGTCCAGTGTTATCCTCAGTGACAAAAAATATATAATTTTAAAGTTAAGATTGAGTGTGGAAATAAGTGTCCTTGAACTAGATATTCAAATAGAATAACATGCCAGATTTGATTTTCTTTTTGTACGCATGCGCATGCACTGTAAAATAAGCACTATTTAGTCTTGGTACAACGTGCTTAGAAAACAAATGTTAAACACATGCATGTATCATGTGATCAATAGCAGTTATAAAGACTGATCGAGACAAGTGAAATGACTGTACAAAATGTAGCAAAATATTTTCAATACTAATAAAAACATTTTCCATAGATTTCAATCAGTGAAGAGGCAGCCAAGTTACGTGAATGTGCTACAGATATATCGGAAGCTTTGAGCGAAATTAATGGATTCCTTATTCGGCTGAAGGACATAGCGATTGAGGTATGGAATACTCTTCGTATCAATTTGTACCGTTAAATCGATATACTTGGCGACGTTTTTTTTTACAATTAGCACTATAATCCAAGACCAGTTGTATAAAACCTCTCAATATGTTCCCTTTGCTGTTAATTATTCAATTTATGTCAGTTTCTTTATTCTGTTTTATCTAGCCTCAGAATTCGTTACCAGACGTGATAATCTGGATGTTGAGCGGCAGTAAAAGAGTTGCTTACTACAGAATCCCGGCGTATAAATTGCTTTTCTCGAAAAATAGTGCGGCAAAAGGGAAATATTGTGGAGAGGAGTTGGATGTCATCCTTAAAGTGAGTATCTTGTTTTTAGATGAGTACAAACGCAAGAATTCTTCACCATTGTTAATGATAGCTTGCTAGTCTGTAATTTGATGATAAGTACTGACAAAACTAAGTAGTAGCTACTAGTATATACATAATTACGTGGGCTTATGTAGCAACATTTTAAGCGCAAACGGGTGGAGAAAAACAGCTAATTCAAAAGGCACGAGATTTCAATTTTCAATTCAAAAGAGGAAATACACCCTCTTTAATGTTTGTCTTTCAAGTCTCCAGTAGCAAAACCGGGCTGGCTTTTTTTTCCAACTCTAGCCATGCAAAATGCAAATTTTAATCATTATGATTTTTATTATCAAAATTCAGGCTGGCTAGTCACAATAAGTTTAGAACATTTTTCGTTGAAATCTATCTTTGAACATTCCTGGAATCATCGTAATCGTCTCGAATATCATGATATAACAGCCTAGCTAGGTGCTGCTGTCTGTTTTGTCTTACTATATAGTCTATTTAGAAGAACTCGACCGTGAACGATTAAAAAATTGACGATGCTCTCTTCTCTTATGCTGCATGTTTGCTTTATTTTACTTCCCAGTATCCGGGCAAGAAAGGTAAGAATATTGAAGATTTCCCCGAAGTTCCTGCTTACCTGCGAGTTATGATATGGTTTGGTTTGGAAGAAGATCAAATGGATTGGACAAAACGTGATGATGTCGAAGGAGATTTCTCAGTTTTTGCGGAAACTGTAAGTTTTTGAAAGCAATCTCACAATTTTGGATTCTCCAAAATGACGGATATTCGTCATCGTGAAGTAGGCAGTGCACGACGTACAACAAACTGATACAAAGTTTTGAGAATAGTGAAGGAAACTAGGCAAACTGTAGGAAACTAAAATTGTGAAGATCTTTTAGGAAGTGAAATTGTTGTTTTTGTTATCCTTAATTAATGCGCTTATTTTTTCAGTACGAGAACCAGATTTGTGTGTTGGGTTCGTGGACGTCAAAGGGTTGTCCCAGACCTAGTTTTTCCAACGCAAGAGGAGACGTGAGTGGATTATCGGAACTGATATAAAACACTAGATATAGCAACTATATACCAGTCAAATACAGATCCAGAATTAATGAATTTCCGGTGACCTAGAACGAAGAAGAATACTACCTCACGAGTGTCTCTATCAACGCACGTTTTTAAGATTGATCTAGAACCTGTTTCGTGATCTTTGACATAGATCATTGTTCAGAAATAATCTTTTCGTGTTGTATTGGGGCTCAGTTGAGGCTCTCGAAGTTCATTTTTCTTATTAAGTATTCAGTCAGATCAGTGGTTTAAACCCTGTTCTCATTTTATTCATCACAGAACATTGATTTGCTGCAATCTTCAAAATATGGCTAACATTATTTCCTTTTAACTGTGTACTAAACTTTGAGGAGAAATCCCTCTTCGAAAAATGATATGTTAATCACGATTTTATGTGCACGTAACGAGGAAAGATGTCTTATTATTTCCTTTTTCAGGTGGCTTTACCGAAGACATGTTTCAATCCTCCAGAAGGATGGCAATGGGAGGATGATTGGTTTATCGATCCAGAACTTAGGTAAGAGTGATAGAAGCTTTCATATGGAGGGTCTGGCAAGGAAAAAAAAACATGTTCTTTGAGCAGACTTTCGGGATATATAATATTTAATGATTTAATTAGACAACAAGAAAAATTGACTACTTTTAAGATAAAAATTTCTGATTTCAAACGCAATTTGTCTAAATTGAACGCAACGAAAAACGCAATGGTAATTCAGACAGCACTAAATACTCGCATTAGTGAGACGTTTCTTGTTTTGTTTCTTCTTTACCAACAGCCTGTGTTATGATCGTGATACTGGTCATAAAAGCTTTCTCGAAGATGCGTTTGAGAATGAGTCCCGTGTGCCAGGAACAGCCTGGCAACCCGCCGTTCCCGCGTGGACTGATGTGGTATGTCCAGACTATATGATATCGTTTTTCAATACCTTTACCAATAATGCCTTTCAATACTCGTTGTTAAGATACACTACATTTCGTTATTATCGGATTCAGTTAAAAACAGCCTTTACGGTTTCGTAAGCCTATTTAATCGTCTTATGCTGAGAGTTTCTTTTTGAAACTTCCAAGAATTAATTCCCGAAGGTCTAAAAATATTGTTCTTTTTTATTTTTGTAGAAAAGTGACGCGATTACTCAACGCCAAGAAATTCAATGTCCCAAAGGATGGGTGTGGACAAGCGAGTGGAAAATTGATTTAAACAGAGCTGTCGATGAAGAAGGTGAATTTTGCAGTCGCGTGCAATGCATGTGTTTAAATCGTAAAGATTCAAATTATCTCATCTCGATGTTTTTGTTCAACAGGATGGGAATATACCGTCGAGGCGACGTTGGCCACCTATGGTCCTGTGGAAAAAGTGTATCATTTGTGTCGGAGACGAAGATGGATTAGAGAGAGGAAGTTTGTAAAGGATTCTAAAAAAGAGTCGGATGTACGTATGTCATTTAATGAACCAATGACTTATTTTATCCTAAATATCTTTTTGCCAGCGAAAAATATTTCTCTTGACTGTATAAAGCACAACTCTTCCTCCATTAAGTGATTGATAGTTGTTTTACCGCTATTCTCCAGACGAAGAGTAAAGAGGTTTCCAAGGAAGGCTGGGAATATTCCACAGTATTCACCACTCGTTTCCATGCCACAAATCGTAAGATGGACTTGGTCCGACGTCGTCGTTGGCATCGTAAGATGACGCAGATGATACCGAGTGCGCCAGCAGTGTTTCTTATCACCAGCCAAGAAGTTAGTTCACATTAATAATAGTTATATAGCTTAACTGGAATACTTTGAAGTATCATACTTTAAGATTTCAGCTCATGCACTCTGTATTTGACAACTATATATGATAAATTATACAGGGCAAAGACCATGCTCCAATGCTCAACGCTCCAAGAATGTTCATCACCTTTGAAAGTAAGTATTCATTTTCATTTGTAATTAGTTTTAAGTTGAAAAGTACGAATGAGTAAATACACTACGACTGAAGTCTTCCATACGAAGGACAATACATTATATCAATGTGTGGATTTAATCTGCTTCTTTAGAACCCCACAAATATCAACTGCGTGCGTACGTCTATCAAGCGCGAGATATGATTCCTTCTGACTCTTCAGGCTTGTCAGGTACGTTTCAAAATTTCAAAATTTCTTAGTGTGGAATGCAATTCTTCTATCATGCCATTCATGGCGTGACCATAAATGCTCTTTGATGATGTATTGTTAATACAATGAAGATATGAAAAAGTTGTTGGATTTTATACTGATGGAATACGTGAATGCATAAATGGTCTCGTTGCATGCAGCATTTGGTGCATGAATTGAATTCGATTCAATCGCAAATAACAGCAATACTCTACAACTGACCAACCAACTTGCATTGCCATGTTTTGCTGAGAGTTCAGTATTACTACTCAAGCGTGATTCTTTTTAGATCCGTACGTTCGCGTGTCTTTTGGTAACTCCAGCCAGGCCACTGAGATCCTCATGCAGACGCTGTGCCCGACCTGGGACCAGACGTTGATATTCGAGAACGTTCCGATCTATGGAAATATTGAAGGAGTGCAAGGCGACCCGCCACATGTTGTGCTGGAGTTCTTTGACAGAGATGCTGTGGTAAGTTTTGGTGAAAGCTGTTTTCAAGTTAACCATTTTGATTGCCATTTTGATTGCTGACTAAAATCTTTGTGTGTGCGCTTGGACCTTCGCTTGAACCTTCGCAAACAATTGATGTCAGTTTTCTTTAGTTGTCTAGATCAGAAGATTTTTGTTTGCCCTGTTTGGACGAATGATCCGTATGACAGATCATTCGTCTGAGCCTAAACTTAGTATAATCTAGATGAACTATGTAGATGAACATGTCGAACGAAACTGGCTGATCATTGACCACTAAAATGAGCAATCAAAATACTTAATGTGCTACTATGGCAGCACATTTTCTCAGTGGTAAAATATTATTTCAAAACACTTTGTTTTATCACTTTTGTTCGCAGGGAAAAGACGAGTACATTGGCCGTACTATTGTGAAACCAACCGTAAAGCTTAATGGAAGCCAACCTCCATCGCCCCAACTCCTGTGGTACGACATTACCAAAGGAGATGAAGATGCTGGAGAAATGCTGGCAGCGTTCGAGTTGTTTCTGGTGAGATCTCGTTGCATATATTTTCTTTCTGTTTTTGAATTATTCCAGTCATTTACACACCCTCGATAATTCTGCCTAAGTATACTATTTTGCCATTTTCATCTCAGGTATTTCATTTCTGTTCTGCATTTTAATTTTCCTCGTGTCTTCACAGGATGAAGGTGCTGATCTTCCATTCGCCCCTCCGCTAAGAAACGAGCTGTATTTGGTACCAAGCGGTGTACGACCTGTTCTACAGAGAACGGCAATCGAGGTGAGGTCAAAAAAGGCCACTTAGCTATACGGTAATCACGATATAATTCTTCATCGAAAATGTTCTGTTTTCAGGTTTTGTGTTGGGGAGTGCGTAATATGAAGAAATACCAGCTGGCTACCGTATCGTCTCCCAGTATTGAGTTTGAAGTTGGCGGCCACATAATTGAATCAACTGTTATCATGAATACTGCCAAGAATCCAAATTTTGATGATCCTCTGTTCTTCTTTGACATCGTAAGTCTTCTACTACTCAAGAGGCTTCTGCAAAATATTTCAAATAGCTGTGACACGAAAATCGGTTTCATTGTAGAGATCAGTTTAATTGACATATTCCGTATATCATTGATTACGTAAGAAAACTCTCCTTACTCAAGATATTGGAGTTTGTTTCGTATCAAATTCACCAGTGGGAAATCAAATCGCATAATGAGATGTCATAAATGCACAGTTTTGTCGCGAATACCATCGTATACTATATACGATGTGATATCATACCGGTGAATTTGCATTTGAAACAACGGGTTAATAACAACCTCGTTTGTCTATAAAACTTAGTTTCTACTAAGAGACGGTAGTTTGATGTATTTACTAGATGACATTTTCGGACCCCGCTTTACCAAGACAAAAAATACCCCCAAAATACTAAGACATAAAACAAACTATATCTCAGTATATTACTTACGTTTCTATAGTATCTTCCAAGAGAAGAACTCTACATGCCGCCGATGAACATCAAGGTTCGTGACAACCGCTCATTTGGAAGAAAACCTGTCGTTGGCTTATGCAGTTTGAAATCCTTACATCACCACAGACGAGAACCACGTGATCAGATCGACGCTCCTGATTCTCAAGGTACGGTTTAGTAAAAATTTTTTTATTTTTCGCTGAAAATGGCCGAATTGCACACGGAGTGATTTGTAACAACAATTCGTGATTCAGATGAATGATTAAGATAGCCCCGGTACGGTGTTGGTCAACAGACATGGGTGGCAGTTTAGAATTCACCAACACTTTGTAGTGTCCAATAAGATACACCCTTTGAGGCCAAAAATGTCTCATTAAACTTGGAAACAACGAAAAATGTTTTTAACGAATAATAGAATGCTACCTGTAACCTTGACTGGAATTTAATTTTATATGAAAATTAAAGTCATAATATATAAAATTTAAATTCTAAAATTCCTTTTATAAAACAGTTTGTATTGTTTTGAATTTAGAGGGTCATATTCCTCCTAAGTCAGGAGCTCACGCGCTTGAGATTAAAGAAGAAAAGAAACGAAAGGTAGCCTACTTTGGCACATAATAACTTTTCCAACTGTTTTTTTATACCTTACAAGATAAGTATTAAGTGAAATTGAATCTATTTAAATAAAGGCATTTATAAATGTTAATTGACTACATATTGTATTACGTATTTTAGAAACACGACTCGGAAGAAGATTTAGATTGGTGGTCTAAATATTATGCCTCAACCGGAGAATTAGCGAAGTCTGGTAACTACCTGGAGAAAGGATACGACAAGATCAAGGTATAAGCAAGGACTATCGTCTGTATTTTAAAAGCTCACTCGCACTCAAATTTACGGAGTGTGAGATCTTAATATTCTCATAACGTTTTAATGGCGGTATTTCCAGCCGAATAAGGGCTTGATTTACCTTTCAGTGATTTACCTTACATCTTTCCATCTGTACATTCAGAGAAAACTTTCTCATTGATCAGCATTGACAAAATTTATATGTCACACTCAATGAGTGTGAGTGAGCTCTTTGAATACAGGCGTACGTAACCAATACACACTCATTACAGAGTACCGTTAATCTTTTACATTGAACATGTCCAATGATACAATGAGTTGCATATTTTGCAACACTTTCGGTTTGGTGTTAATAGTTTCCACCTTTTTTCTGCCAAACCACCATCATCAACGACCGTTCTTCACATCATGCCTTTCTTTAATGATACAAAGAAAAAAAGGTGTAAGTTGTTTTTTCCAGATATATCCAAGCGAGCTTGAAGAATGCGATGGATTTGAAAGGTTTGAAGATTTTGTTCAAACGTTCACCATCCGTCGAGGAAAGAATAGAACGAGGGAAGAGAGTGACGAACATACTGTCGGAGAATTTAAGGTGCGTTCTGAAACAAGAAGGAATTTCGTTTTAGACCAATCAGCAATTTTGTTTACATTTTCAGTTGCCCAATCAGAATGCGTAAATACTGACTACTTCCGGTAAAAAACTACATTATTAAGCGCTTTACATGAAGTATAAAAATTTTGGGCATCCTGATTGGTTTAGCCTGAAAATGTAAGCAAATAGGCCAATTAGTTTGAAACGAAATTCCTCCTTCTTGCGTTCTAATGAATCAGAAATTTGCAAGCTAAATATATTTTCTAACGTGTCTAAGTTTAATCTGGGAAAACGATGAAGAGGGGAACCTTCTATGGTTCCCCTGATCCCTAGGACCTTTCATTAAATAGATATCTAATTTCTAAATTGCTAGTCCAAGTGTTTCCTTTGGTATAGATGTAATATAGAAGTAATCAAATGCATAGAAACCAGGACATCAAATTCGTCAATAAAGAGACATTGGTAATAGGGACGTTATGGATTTAAACCGTTGTTTTCAAATTTTAGGGTACATTCAGAGTTTACCCTCTACCCAATAATCCGAAAGATCCACTACCTCCGAAATATTTACATCATCTACCCCCAAGTTGCCCAGTGGAATGTATTGTTCGTGTTTATGTCATAAAGGTAAAGACCTCCATTTCCAGTTTTCATTTAAATGAAACATCGCAGTTGGTTGTTGCAGTAAATTAGCTGCCTATAATATTTTCTATATTTTTTCTATTGGTTAACTAAAATGGAATCAAGCTGATAGTCCTTTTATCATAATATCCCGAAAATCGTGCCAGTTGATATCGCTAAGGTTTTTTCTATACCTAATCCATATTTTTTTCATTTTTCAGGGCATCGATCTCCAACCAATGGACGCCAACGGTTTGGTAAGAAATCTACGTAGAATCTCTTTTCAGAGTTCTAAGTTTGGAATAACATCTTAAATTGACTTAGCAAGTAATTTAACGAATTTGTGCGTATTTTTCATTAAAGGCCGATCCATATTTGGTAGTGAAGTTGGGCAAACAAAAGATAAATGATCGCGAAAAATATGTCCCCAATTCCCTCAATCCTCTTTTTGGAAGGTATGCGATTTGTAATAGCTCAAAAATCGTAACTGAGAAGTGATCACATCACTCAGATTAGTTCAAAGAATTGTTGGTCAATGATAAATACTTAGTCGTGGGAGAAGAGAAACAAATTCTTTGTATAGCTTTAGCAAACCTTTCAACCAAGGTTATCTTTTAACCTTCTTCCCATTTATTTCTTTGTCATAATTCGATCTGTTTAGCCAAACAAATTATTGAGAATACAAAAGTAATTAAGTAAATCTCGAAACCCAAATTAAAGAAAATCCTTCTTCAGAACAAAGTTATGATGAAAAAACTTCATTCAAACATCAATACAATTCAAATTTTGACATGGTTTCCCTCCGTCTCCCTTCCCCGTGTCTCTTTCCAATGCATTTCTACTAGGAACCGCATGCGCACGCCATTATTTTGTAATATTTATTTATTGAGTTGCGTCAAAATATAATATTTTAGGATGTTTGAGTTAACAGCCACTCTTCCAATCCACAAAGATCTTTGTGTCAGAGTTATGGACTACGACCTCATTTCCCATGATGACGTCATTGGCGAAACAGTGATTGATTTAGAGAACAGATTCCTGTCAAGTCATAGGGGTACCTGTGGTTTACCTGAAACATATTGCTTGTAAGTGCATATAGGAACCGCCTCAGGTCGAAACGCTTTCTTAACAAACCTCGCTCTGCCGAGATGCATTTGTCAGCAAGTGTCCCCCAAAATGCGGAAAATCAGGTCATAGCGACTCTCAAGAATGCAGAAGAGGGTCCGCTGGTAACGAATCCATAGAAACGGCCTTGTTCTCAAAAACACCACTTCCAATATGTGGTAAACGTGTCTCGAACGCTTAAAGTTTTGATGAAAATGATCTTAATACTGAGTTCGTTAAGCGATAAAGGTTCATCTCTCAAACATTGAGCCGAACCAGTGTTTTTTTTTGTCAACTTCAGATCTGGTCCAAACCAATGGCGTGACTGTCGTACTCCTAAAGAGTTGCTTGCTGAATGGTGCGAAAATCAGAGCCTTTGCAAGCCGCATTACATTGGCAATACTCAAGTCATTATTGACCAACAGACTTACACCCTCAGCGCTTTTGGTGAGTGTTGTTGAAGATGTTAATTATCAATTTTAGTACTGATTGGCTCCGAAAACACTATAACGAGCAAATCAAACGTCATGTGACATTAGGCTTTTCTCGTTTGGCGTCATTATGTTCGAAATCGAAGTCGAAGTCGAACCACTGTTAGTCTTGTGCTCTTGCATCTTTCGTCTGCAATGTTTTTTGACATAATATTTTCTCTTAGAACGAGGTCTTGTCATCCATTCCCACATGGGAGCGCCTGATCAGAGATTGGCACTTCACGTCCTGAATTCGTTGAATGTTTTTGTGCCGGAACATGTCGAGACACGACGATTGTACAATCGTATTCAACCCAATATTGAACAGGTAGCGTATGTGCTCCAAACCAGTCGACTCATCAATACTGGGCAAAATTTGGAAAAATTATTTTTGTGTTTAGCAGTCTTTGGGCATGCATTTTGATTTGCAAGTACATTTTTTTAAACGTTTCCACGCACCTCGAGACTGAGATATTGTACTCAACAATACACATTGCTGACTTTAAATTCAATTACATGCATGCCTAATTTACATACGGAATCCAGCACAGAATGCTCTAATATTGCAGATCAGATTGCAGGCAATTTTAAGAGATTTAATCCTTTTTAAATTGTTATAGGGTAAACTGCAACTGTTTGTGGACATCTTTCCCAAACATCTCGGAACTCCAGGACCGCCATTTAATATTTCACCGCGAAATCCAAGTAGCTACGAACTTCGCATTATTGTTTGGAACACAAGTGATGTTATTCTGGACGAAACCTCGATCACTGGGGAGCAAATGAGTGACATCTATGTGAAATGGTTAGTGTTAGACTATTATATTCAGATCAAGAAACAAACTCGAAGTTATAGGTTAAAATTTGGACGTTGCTGTGCTTAATTGTCGAATCACAATTTTTCTAATTCTGTCCACTCTAGTTTCTTTTAATATAAAGTGTTAAAAAGAAACTTCTTTCCCCTTGTTTTGCTAAAAATATTTTTAATAATAGCATGCCTATGACATAATTAGGAAATAAATTGCTTTCCGAGGGAAATTCGGTGAAGGTTCCTCCCCATATTTTCTTAAAATACAAAAAAAAAAAAAAAAACTTTGGATGTGAACATCACGTAAACCCGAGGTCTTAGTTTAAAGCGAGACAAAACTCAAGGTGGAGTTAAAATACCTTATTTTGTGTTTAACAAGTCATATCTTGGTTTATGTACAAAATGTTGACATTCCGGAGACGTCAGGTCAATTTAGTTGTTAAGCTCCGGAGACAACTTCTATATCAGTCTGTAAATATCACAATAATTGAGAAAACTCAGTAAGTCGTTCTAATCAAGCGTTCAAGATCGTGTATGTATTTCAAATATCGGATCATCGTATAATATTTGTCTTTTAGCTGGGTAGCAGGTATCAATGAGAAGCAGCGAACTGACGTTCACTACAGGTAATGCAAGCTAAAAGATCTAGACAAAACAACCGTCAATATCGGCGAAATGATTTTATTCTTTGTTACAGAAGACTTTTTGCGTTACTAAATATTCTCTGTTTCTTTAGATCTCTGGATGGCGAAGGAAATTTCAACTGGAGAATGGTGTTTCCATTTGATTACCTTGCTGCGGAGAAAATCATGGTTGTCAAGAAGAAGGTATATCGCTTTTGAACATTATCCACGTTTGACCGTGATTCGGGCATGGTTTGGTTGGCTTTTTTTGAAAGGATCTTTTGAATTTTTTCGTTTTCTTGCAGAGTCATTTCTGGAGCCTGGATTCAACTGAAGAACGATTACCACCGACGCTGGTGGTTCAAGTTTGGGACAATGATTCATTCTCGCCCGATGACTTCTTAGGTAAACTATATTTGGTTAAACTTCTTAAATAAACTAAAGTTGCTTCTATAGCCATTTAAAAAGGGATGTATATCTGCATGTAATGCTTGGCCTCTTCATTCACGGTCTAAGCAGCATTGCTTCCCCCAATTGACCAGTGAGTGTGTTGGCAGGTTGGGGTTTTATTGCCCCTAATTGGAAAATAAGTCCGGTTTAGTCCGCTAAAACCATGGCCAGGTGAACATTCCGTGGTGTTGAGAGACACTGTTGTATATAGAATTACCAAGGAACATTTGAATGATCTAACTACTCACTCATCATCAGGTGCGGCTGAGCTTAATCTTGACCATCTTACAAAACCTGCTAAGAAAGCGAGTAAATGTGGTCTTCATCAACTTCCTGATTTGGAAGATGCGAAGTTCCTGAGCAGTCAAAAGGAGGAGGTGTCGCTTTTTGAACAGAAAAGAATGTACGGCTGGTGGCCAGTGGTTGGTGAAGAGGGTGACGAAAGAATTTTGGCGGTAAGCGTTTGTAGAGCGTTTTTTTTTATGAGCCAGTTACTTGATGTAAGTTAACATTGAAGACGATTTAAGAAGTTGTAAGTGTTATTCCGCATTGCTATTCAGTAACTAGAACTACTTAATATTATACTACCTATTAGATGGGAAAGGAAATATTTTACAGTTCATCATATGGAGAATTTCTGGTAGATGAGAATTCTTTACAATTTAATCATATAATTTTAATTAACGCAGATATTTGTACGCTTGCGTACCTATTTTTTATTCTGCAAAAAGATCTAGCCTAATTTGATAAAGCCAGACGGACAGAGAGTTTATAACACGCCATTGTTATGAATAAACGTTATGTTATCGCTTTCTGTATGTCTGATATTGTGATTGAAATCTATGTTCTTTTACCATCTTAGGGTAAAGTTGAAATGTCCCTGGAATTATTAACAGCAGAGGAAAGTGCATTGAAGCCTGCTGGTCTAGGAAGAAACGACCCAAATGCAAATCCTGCCTTAGAGGAGCCACAGTAATACCTTGTTATAGTTTGTCCATTCTAATGAACCTTTCTTATAATGACGTCAAACGCAGAAAGCCTGATTTCACATTAAGTGTGACTGGTTTGTTAAGGCTGGTTCACACGATGAAATAAGCTCCCTAATAGGCTCGCTCGAGAAACAGTTGCGATGCTTAATTTTGTGGTAATCTTCCATTTTTCAGTCGTCCTGCAACGTCATTCCGGTGGTTCACGTCTCCTTGGAAATCAATGCGTTACATCATCTGGAGAAACTACAAATGGTATATCATTGGTTTCATTCTGCTTGTCTTGATACTTCTCGTAATTGGAATATTTTTCTACTCGATGCCGGTAAGTCATAATTTATCTTTATGGTAAACTCGAGAAAAGCTGAATAACTCCTCTTTTCTGCTATGTAAAAATCAAATCGCTGAAACCATTATTTAAATCATTACGGCATGTTAAAGTGGCGATAAGGTTTTTTTGAGACACCCTGTAGTGGAAGAGTTCAGTATAGTCATTGGTAAATAACTCGTATATTGCATGTTTTGTTTTCACAGGGGTACAGCGTAAAGAAGATTTTCAAAGTGTAAAATTCGATAATGAACAAACGCAAATTTCATCTCGTGGACAACTTATTCACAATACTAAGTCCAGTAGAAAAAGATATCGTCCTTGTCTGACAATAGTGATATTCACTAAATATTATTTTGCTAGTATTTTTGCACACAATGACCGGGATTCCATGGGGTTCTCAATAAACCAATTCATTGCATATGTATATTATATATTATTGGTTGTAATTTAAATTATTATATAGAATCAAATTGAATTAAAATTCCTAGAAAATACTAATTGCTCTATAATCTTGTATGTAGTCAGGGCGACCACTACGCACTATGAACAGCATTTTGATCTAGAAAAATCTCGTCACAAAATAAGTTAAATTCGTTAAATTTTGTAGCGAGTGTTTTGTAAAGAGTGTTCGAAATGCTAAGAAAACGTTAGCAGATCGTAAGAAATGTTCGCATTTGGCAACTGTAGATGCATCAGGAGTAGAATTGCATTGCAAGTTTGCAAGGAAAGTTGCATAGTGTAACACCGCCTTAACATTTGATGAAAAAGATGTCTATTTCCGGCATTTTACAACATTTTGCAACGAAACGTGAGGATCTTTCCCATTTTTTTTTGCTCCTTCCAGCCATGACAGAATTAATTTCTCCGGGTCTATTTACAGACCGCATTTCGCAAGCGGAATTAATTCATGCATCTTTAGCACTTACTGTAATCAATCTTCAACAATCTTCCTCTAGGCTCTAATGCCTGGTTTCCATTTAGTTTCGACTCGCAAGCGTCGTGAATATATATGTCAAGGTGGCTGATGACATCGAATATTTCTATGTGTGTGCAAGGAATAAAAACAAAATTACATCCGGACTATTTCTTATCTGTGAAAATGACCTGTGCACGACACAATTATACGACTAAATGGAAACCTGCATGCATGACTTAATATACATTAAATCTAAAAATCTGGGCCTTAAGGGTTGATAGTTGTCAAATACGGCCGTATTACGCAAAGTACTGTCTCCTACAACTGATATTCCTTACAGGTATTGCCATTTGAAAATGTTTGCCGAAAATTTAAACGGCGAAGATGGTCGATGGTCAGTCCACCTGTATATTATCGTTTTTTTCAAAAAAATTGTCGACCTCTGGGAATGTTTTAAAAGAAAACTATCGCTAAATAACAATATTTTTTTAGCAATTATCCCTTTACTGTAGTGAAATATCCTCCTGCCCTAGTTTTATATAGTAATATAATTACATCGCTGCATGATCATAATTTTAGCTAGCGTTGTAGCCACCTGTCAATTTTGCAACGGTCTTTGATTTCACGTTATGGCGGTGTTGTTGAAATAATGAAATACATACAAGTAAGTGTTTTTATATGTTTTAAACTATTTTATGGATTTCTAATGGTAAAATATCGAAGAATTTATGTTTAAAACTATGGTTTGGTTCTTAGGCCATTTAGACGTGTTTCAGAAGTCAACAGCAACATACATTGTATGAGTTAAATGCTGTTTGTTTGTGAAGCTGTCTTTTAGTTTTAGTTGTATTAATGTTTATTTCAACCTCGCGTATTTCAAATGCTTGTTTAAAACGCTTTGTCGTTGGATCGCTAAATAAATTAGGCTACGGAGGCACCGATTTGTCGTTTGATTTAAGCGAACCTCGTTAACAGACTGATTATAATTGCTTCTGAAGACAATTGCAAAATGACAGATTTTGATCGAGAACAGCTATGGTTGACTCCTGCCGCGCGATCAAATCTTAAACGTTTTTAATTTGTATGTATATACTAAATTAAGATCTTATTCCATCCTTTCAAACCCAGCAACGCTAAATCTCGTACAAGGGACTCGAGCAGCATAGGAACTTTCTTTACAAAGTTGCTTCGAACGATTTGTACTCGTGCAACGCTGCCGATGCAAAACTGACTGGTCCCATTCTCATTTCACAGTTCTCACCCTAAACTGCATTATTTTTATGAGCATCTTTTCTGACACAGTTGTGCTTATGTTCCTTTACTGTCATAAATATCATTGTCGTAAATCGACATTTAAAAACTAGCTTTTGCTTTGTATTCTAGTAACCACGTGTAAGATGCTTCTTGAAGATATATAAAATTTCCCGCCATATATTGTTTTCATCCAAATGGATTCAAATTTGGAAGACACCAAGAGTGGTACAAAAAAGAGGGATATTTCTGAAGAAGACAACGAGATTGCAACAAAAAATGAAGGTGAAGAATTAAACAGACAAGAAAATATCGAAAAACAAGTTGGTGAAGGAAGCTCTGAATTGCTCGCGAAACAGGATGAGGAAGCGAGGAAGGACTCGAGAATAGCAGAATCTTCAAAATTTTCTCTTTCCTACGGAATTCCAAAACGTTACGTGCTGTTGCTCTTAGTGTTTCTCGGTTTTGTGAACATTTACGGTTTGAGGATCAATCTGAATGTTGCACTTGTTGCCATGGTGAATAATCGCACGTATACACGTGGTGGAGTGACTGTCAGCGAACCAGCCGAATTCCACTGGAACTCGAAAACACAAGGTAAACTTATGGCTAGGCTGTTTTCCACTATATCTGCTTTGCCCGCACAGAAGAAGCTGCCCGAATACTCGAAGGTGTTTTATTGTAATTGTAAACGAACCTGCCCTAGGCCTGTTTCAGTCGTCGAACTTTTCATTTGCCGAACCTAATGTTAATGAGCTTAAGCCTTAAGACAATTTGCATTCTATTCGGCACATAAAAATTTCTACGTCTGAAACGGGCCTTAAAATTTTAAAGTTAACAAATATAGCCAAAAGAACATGATGACTATATGCATACCAATAAAAATGTAACGCTATTGTGACGGTTTCTTTTTTCATTAGGTATTGTATTAGGTTCATTTTTCTATGGTTACTGGGCTTTGCAAGTTCCAGGCGCGTGGATCGCGATGAAATTAGGAGGAACACGAGTGTTTGGATACGGCGTTCTGCTCTCTGCTCTGCTCACTCTATTGACGCCAGTGGCAGCGAGATATAGTGTCGGAGCTTTGATAGGACTTCGAGTATTTGAAGGTCTATTTTTGGTACGTATAAAATGCAATAAAAATCAATCGTGCTTTGTTGCCAGGGTGTTTATTTCACTTTTCGATGACAGTGTTAAATCCTCGTTCTTCCACTAGTTACAAGCACAAATGTATGATGAGTTACCCTCCCTGTTGGCATGCCAATCATATGACAGAATATTTACATTCATAGGGAGTTAGTTATCCTTGCAATCACGCGATATGGAGCAAGTGGGCTCCTGTTTCTGAACGTAGTACCCTCGTTACGGCTGCTATTGCTGGTAAGAAGCAGTATAATATTGCTTTGATGAAATCTAGACTTGTTTCCAGTAGGCAGATGTGGCAGGCAGTTGATTTTCTAAAATATCTTAAAATGGTGAAATTAGTGGCTCACAATGATAACCTCTGATATACTATTGGTAGTGATTAATAATGTTTTCTAATTCTCAGGTGCAGCAGTTGGAAACATTGTTGCTCTTCCACTGACTGGGTTATTGTGTAAATACGGATTTGATGGTGGCTGGCCCACTGTCTTCTATTTTTTTGGTATGAACAAGTTTTCCAGAGGATTTCAAGAATATGTCTTAGGCAAAATGGTTTTCATTTCACCTGAAGTCAGATCTTTGCAGCAGTTGTTTTGGTTTTCAAATAACGTTTAACTTCTTGATCTAGGCTCAATGAGCATTCTGTGGTATCTTATTTGGGAATTTTTTGCCTACGAATCACCCGCCGTGCATCCGACGATATCAGAAAGTGAAAAAGATTATATCGAAGGGAGTATAGCGGATGAAAAGATCGAAGTAAGTTTTCCTATATGCAGCTGATACAAGTATATGGCTGTTCTTTTACGATTAATATTAAATCATAGTGCGCGAGCGATGATTACTTTTCACCTAATGTTCTTGAAGACACAAAATTCTCCTTAGCTGAATCAAATTCCTAACGTTACAAGTCTACACAAGCTGTAATCATTGTCACCAGCGCGCTGACAGCCTAAATTTTCATGTTTATTTTCGAAAGATCGTCCTCCTTGAAATATAGCTGTGTACCTGTAGTATTCATTGTACCAGTAGAATTGTTTATATATCTCCAGCGGCCTAATTTATAAGTGTCGTTTTTTGGTAAAATACGGCACCTAATTTTTGCAAAGGAGGGAAGTTAGTTTTACCAGAGTTTCAACCTTCCTCCGGGAGGAATCGAAGTTCTGAAGACCTTCTTCAAAATTATGTGACACCATTGCTCTTGATTTCACTATCGAATAGGGTCTATGGTTCCACTATTGAATAGAATCTGCCATTTTACATTAAACGTTCCTCAAATATAGTGATGCCCGCAGCTTCTTGCAGCTCTGGGCTTTATGTTTTTGTATTGTGTTCCAGAGCGACTGTCCGCCGTGGGGAAAGATTTTGACATCGCCACCGGTTTGGGGAATAAACATTGGACACTTCGGAGCGTGCTGGGGATATTATACACTCTTCACAGAAATGCCAACTTTCCTGAAGGATATTCTCCATTTTGACATCAAACACGTAAGTTAACCTGAGGAAAATTGTATTTGAGTACAATAATTCAGTTCCTTTTTGAAATTCTTCGGAGTCTCCATGTCGACATATCAAAGTCCATTTATTTACAGAGATAGTTATCCTTTTTATCCTGGAAAATTTTGGGCGAATGAAAATCCACGTCAGTTAGTCTAATGTCTGCGAGTTCCTTATGTAATATTAGGATATCTGGATGAAAAGCAGAGCTGTAAAGTGGAAGACGGCCCTGCGATAAGAATTTTGTCAAATTTTTTCATGTTCCGATTTTTTTCCATCAAAACCCTACTTCATATTCATTTAAAAGCAGCGCAAACCTAAACGTTGTTAGATATTTAGACAACACAACGTATTTCAAAAATTATAGAAGTTCAAAATGTAAACCGTTTGTTTACATACGGACTTGACTTCCACTTTAAGTTTTTTTGTCTGTGCGGACTGTGAGCTGTTAAGCTGTGAGCTGTGAGCTGTTAACAAGGGCAACCAGCAGTACTTGGGAAAAACTCTCCTGACTCCACTGACGAGCATTATACTCGAAATGAATTTCATTTTCTTAGCGTATCTGCTCAGTTTTACGATCTTCAATTTCATTTAGATGGGATTTCTGGCAGCTTGTCCATATATGCTCAAGTCAGTACTAGGACCTTTAGGAGGACTTTCAGCAGACTTTCTTATCAAGTACAAAATCATGTCAATACGAAATGTTCGTGCTTTGTGTTACGCTATAGGTAAGTATTTGAAATTTTATTCTTATGGGCTGTTTTCCATTGTCCCGTTTTTCATATACGTACGCACATGCAGTAAAACACTAAATCCTTTTATTATATACACAAGCGCCAGATATGAGGTATGCTGCAATTTCATTGGTTGGCTGATATCTGTTTAGTAGAGAAAGTAAAAAAAAATATTTGGGGAGTTGAGTGAAATTGAAATCCAAGCTTTAGTTGATAATAGCACACCAAAATGTACCGAAAGGGCTGCAAAGTTTGTGTATATAATAAAACAGTTATCGTCATCCCTAAGTAATAACGAACGGTGACCCCCTCATTACTGTACACCTTAAACAGATTCAATTCGTTTCCTTATTTCTTTACCAGGTTGCATATTTGCTGGTATTTTTATTGTCGCCACAAGCTACGCGACGCAGCGATATTTGTGTGTTATATTTCTTGTTCTTGGCGTCGGTTTTTCTGGCATAAATGCGGCTGGTTATGCCGTCAATCACTTGGACATAGCTCCACGCTATGCTGGGTTGTTGATGGGTCTGTCGAATACGTTTGGTTCCATGCCTGGATTTCTCAGTCCTATGCTAACTGGATACATCGCACATTCTAAGGTAATGGAACTGAATAAGGAATATATTGCCGGAATTTTTTGGCATCGAGCCTGCAGTCCGCTGCGGTTTTGCAAAAACAAAACGTAGGCAAATTAAATATTGGGGTGCGAGAAAAGGCTTTACATTACTAAATTCGTATTAGCAGTAGCCATTTCTCTAAAAACGCCATGTAAATTGCACAAATGTTGTGTTAAACGCAGTATTTGACAGCAGATTATACCAATATTGTGTAGCCGGGGAAATTTAATTCGCCAATCAATCTTTTATTGAAAAAGTCATAATAAGCTTTTCCACAAGGCTTATCAAAGCCAGCATAATTTTGAAGATATGGCAGGCGAAGGTTTAGGCAGTTTACCGCTGACTTCATTGGGGTCTCAAATGTCCGAGACTCTGCAGATAATAAGGTAACAGAATGCATACTGAAAATTCATGGCAAGAAAGTCGAAGACTTACAAATTTCGCATTTTATGCGCTTTAAAACTTTTAATAGCTCAAATATAAGTTTACAAACCAGTTAAGCGTGTTTATTTGCTAGGGCTTAATTGTATGAAATGTAGTGCCATGGAGCAGTTGGGCGACCATACGGAAAGAGCAAACCTCAATTTGTAAGCATTCTCCCCTCTGGGAAAAAAAGCAAAGAACGAGTTGGACGGACATGCCTCAATTATTGTTGCTTTTATTTGCCCATTTTAGGATCCTGAAGAATGGAAAATTGTTTTTTGGATAACACTTATAATTTATGTGGTAACTTCAATTATTTACGCCATACTTGTATCGGGGACGAAACAGCCCTGGGCAGACAAAAAATCCTAACTTTGTATAACCCGAGAATTTTATGGTATGGCCCAAGTGTTGTGTTATAGAAATGAAATACCCTAAAGAACAACATGTTGTAAACCAACGATTTTATCTTTAAAACAAGTTAAACAAAGAAAACAATTTAAAATCAAGAGGCTGTTCTTCAGAATAAATTTCATCCTATCAGTATTTTATTTATATTGTATTCTTGTAACGGTTTTCAATTTTTAGTGCGATATTACTTTATTACAAGATTTTTGGATATAATTAAATGTACGAGTAGCCGATTGCCAGCCGTTTTCTATACATCTACATGCGTGATTGTGATATGTAATGACAGGATTTTCCTGTCCTGTCCGATCCAAAGGAGAATTTTCCTGATTGGAAACTAGCCTTTAACAACATTCTGTATTTCCTCTATTGAATTGGAGGCGTGACTTGTATCCAATGTATCGTCCGCAAAAATGCTGGGTTTAGCCATGTTTAAGCAACTTTCCTTGCAAATTGCAATGCAATTCTACTCATGCAGAGGCATCTAAGGTTGACAATAGCCGTACATTTCGTACGCCCGGGAACACTCTTTGCAAACTAAAATCCCTTAAAATTATAATTGCATTGCAAGTTGCAAAGAAAATTGCATAGTGTAATTTTGACTGCAATACTCAAAAACATTTGTCGTTCCCTTGGCAATTTGTTCTAAATGTTCATGTAATGGATTATTGCGGTTCTTATTACTGGCCTCAGGCCACACCTCAGGCCTGCTTAGCGTGATGGGGAACTGGTGACAAAAACTGGTCAAACCGGTTAATTACAGTAAAATCACATCTGGTCGCCTGTTATCGTGTTGCTGCATTCGCTTCGTCAATTCACAGACATATACAACCAAAATAAGTATCATATGCATAAAGGTAAGTTGTGTGCTACTTTACTTTTAACTTGTTGTGTTCAGTCAATGTGTTAAACGTTTTATGGCCTGCACAGTTTTCCAGTATAAACCACGGCTTTATTATTTATACTTTGGCGAACTATTATTATTCATTGTGACAGTTCAGTAATTTATACACCATTCGTTTTGTGTTGTATATTTCGTTGCTTACAAACGTTTGGTTTCCCGAGGACTGACATTTGATTTTGATCTGTGAGGAATATAAGTTTGCAAACGTTTAATCATCTCACTCCTACTGTATTCCACAATCTCGTTTCATACGCCGTATTTTACATGTGCTGAATATATTAAAGACACAAGTTATTAATGAGACATTCCAGCTTAGTATCTATATTGTCTTTATATATAAAAAATTTAAATATTTAATGTTTCGGCAGGTGTGAAATGCGTATACAGCGTATAGCCTGGTTTTAATATAACACAATTCGTCATAATTCGTCGTAATAGAGAGCATGCACAATTCAACGAGAACGAACGACTATACAGGGTGTCTCAAAAAAAAACCGCAACCTCTTAAATATGCAAGAATATTAATATTGTTCGTGTTTGCACCATAGTTCAGCTAAAATGACTTTTAGCATTGTAAATGAAGGTTTAAGTTGTATTAATGTTCTTGCATATTTAAGTTTTGCATTTTTTTTAGACACCCTGTATATGCAGTAATGTTAATAAGTCTTGTTAAATATGTCGTATATGTTATACGAGTTAAAAAACTATACGAATACTGTCCGGTGAATAACGCTATCCAGCATTCCTGCAACTACGGCCTCTGAATTTATTTTGTTTAACAAATTTAGTTGAACGGCTACCAAGGTTAACTTCAACACTGAATCTGAAGTCAGTGGTGCATGGAAAACACAAGCTCGGAATTTCCCGAAGGATACTAACTATTTAATTCCGATATGCACTCAAGTGCATGACTTGAGCTGTATAAAATCCTAATACACTTTTACCTGTAGTTAGATGCTGTTTATGTGATCTCAGGTACCCGGGATACTCTGGTAGAGATCGATAAACTGATCATAATCATATTATAGCAGTTAAGACGCAAGGATTTAAATGGAAGGTTTTTAACTCGCCTTGGCTTATAGGGTCACCCTCGATTAGAGATAGCCCTAGTGGTAGGGGAAACTTTTATCCATGTAAACACTTTGCCTCGGTTTCCAGGGTTAACTTTTCCTTCTGGCGCGTGCGCAATAGCGAATAGAACATTAATTATATTAGCTTTGGCGGGCATAGCGGCTTATCTTGCGGGCAAGAATGATAAATTTGCAGGGTTGAAGTTCAGTAGTTCATTCAGTAGTTATAGGAAAAGCGTGCAAAGATAGTTATGTGAAATTTTAGGATTCAAATTTCCGAAAATGTATTAAGTCTATATGGTAAGAGATTAACGAGAATATATATAAAATGCAATTCTAACATTTCTTTATTCATGATATTGAAAAAAAAGTGGAATTAAAGTGATATTAAAATGTAGTATTTAATGCACAAATCCCGAGGGGCTCTCATAGCCCATTTAAAGTTTTTCCACTTTGAAAATTGTGTCGTGATTGAGACCAATTGTCGACACATCTGGGCACTCGCTCTTAGAAATTGTCTTGCTCTTTCCATCTGTTGTGTACAATTTCCAATTGCCTCCAAATACAATGATTCCAGACACACCGCTCGCCCCTTCCCCAGTGGGAAATTCGGATTCAGTAGATGTGGTGTCTGTGTAGGTCTATATTAAGTAAAATATTACATGTGAACTATTTATAAAACTGTCTATCATTTGCAACACAACACTGGTATTAAAAATCTAGGCGAGTTGAGAACGTATATTAATGTGCACAGAAACTGATTTGTTCAGATAAAGCAACAAAATAAAGTGCATATATATATATATATATCTTCGGGCAGCGATATGTGCATGCCGCAAAGATTTACAAAGAAGGAAACACAAAGGCATGCATTCATATATATAGCAATGCCATTTCGGTAATTACATTACAACTAAGTAGAAAAGAGGTTGAGCAACCAATTGGCAACATAGCCTTTAAATTATTGCTTGGCCCTTAGCCTCGCCTCCATGTTGTTGTGATTAAATTAACACCGTGAAAAGCCTATCATTTATACATGTTTTGAACATTTAAACCGATTAGATTGATTGAAATAAAAATATGAATTTAAGACAATTCTTGCCAAATTTATCTGGGAGAAATGATATAAGACGAACTTACGAAATTTTTCCCCCAAAAGCTGTGGTGTTCAAACAAACAAATGCCATTCTCAACAAAATTGATGGTTTTTACAGCAGTGATTGGCGTCGCTCCGTTGTCGATCTGTCCAAAGCCATTACCTCCATATAGTGGAACGAATTTATACTCCCATTGGGGACCTTGAGTATTGTAGATAATCCAGTTGCCATAGTCTACCACAGCTTTCACAAAATTGTTTTCTGCTGGGATAGATTCATTATCTTTCTCATACGTTTGCTCATTGCCATTCTTTTTTGTCAAGGTTATCTTATTTTCTTTGGGCATCGTTCTTGAAGGAAGTAAAATCGTCCTTAATTAACTATAGTCTTTAATTAAGATTAAATGTATATTATGTATCATATATACATTATATATATATATAATAACGGAATAACAGAATAACTCAAAGGCGTTCAAAACTTAGCCGCGGCGTTTGAAAGCAATGGATGATCTATAGGAAGTCAACAAACATTGTCATTCGACTCTTTCTGCATAAAACTGATAAAACGGTCTTCATTATTCAATTATTTCAACCTACCTTTCAATTTACTGTGATTTTCGAGATCAGGACAAATCAATTCAGCTCAGCTTCAGCGCTGGCGATTCTTCTCTGATTCAATTCAACTCCGCTCTATATTTATAGTCAACGGCAGACGTGCAGGAATTTCAGCATAAATCAATTGATGTGACTAGAATGTTCAAATCAATTGTTCTGCTGCTGTTCAAACGGTTCCTATTTTTAACCAATTCACAGTGGGTGCTTATGTCCACATCACGAAATATGAATGAAATAAAGGCACACTCATTGGGCGGTTTGTGGCCAGATGTCTTTGGATAAATTCAAAGTGTCCGCTTAAGAAAAAGCTGTGAAAATGGCATACCACTCGATTGCATACCTTGGATTACGAAAATTATAGCTAGTTTAATCAGAGTTTATGACAAAACAATATCAAAAGCTCTCCTCCACTTAGACCTATAATCTCCTCTTTCAATTCATATAATTACAATTAGCTAAATACTTCATGCGCTCTACTCAACCCTAAGGAGACTACATCACTAAGGATTCATTTTTGCTCGTTAATTACTATCACGAGCTACCATTACCATACGCATACGAAATAATTTCATGATAAGAGGAAGCTTTTTTAAGAGGAACTTTTTTTTTGAAATTTGGAATTCTGCCAGGTCTGTGTTCATTTGCGAAACCTTTTGTCAATTTCATCTTCCTTTTTGAACTTAAAGCACTAACCTGTACATGAAAATTTATTGTGAAAATGATTGATTCATTTGTTAAGCCCTTTCAAAACGACCATTTTCTATGATTTATTCTCAAAATCAAATTTTCAGAAATTCAGCAGCTGTTCTCGTTTATCGCTAAGGGTTAATAAAATTGCACCCATACCAAGCTGTATTGATTACGTACGTATACTACAGAGAATATCAAACGAAATCGCCGCATGTTGACACTGCTTGCTGACCTTTCCTGTATTGTTGGCGTGCACTTCATTACCCGTCGGTCTTTTAGTCTAGATGAGACACAAAGCCCGTCGTGTGGTAGTTTTTTACCGTCAGCAGGGCGTATTTACTTGGGGTTGCATCTTGCCTTGGTAGTCTATTTATAAATCATACTACATAAATTTCTTATTTTGTTCGCACATATTTTGTTTTCTACCGGTGTTATGGTAATGACATCTTTGCATGTTTAAAACACATGATTTCTACTATTTACTTCCTACAAAATCAAAAACATTTTCAGTTTTATGGATGCTATATCTATAGTGATTTAAAATGTATTGTGGTGTATAAATTTACTTGTCAGGATATATTTCCTGTTACATTGGTAAACAACCCGCGCCATCTTGCCACAAGATCAAATAACACACCACCTCTGAGAAAAGCTCACACATTTACAAACACCTACAGAACCCTAACTGCTGAAAACGAATTAGCCACACCCGCTCTTGCTTTTTCAGTCTAGACACTGCAAACACCTCCACTCTTAAACTCAAGGAAGCTCTGCAAATTCGCAAGCACAAACCAGACCTATAACAAACAGGTTCAGCATTTTAATACAATTTTCCAGTTATAATTTTGTGTTGTCTTGTCTTTGTCCTGTGACTTGTATCATGTTATGTTGTCAATCATGTTTGTAAATATTCTAGAGAGTATCAAAGAGTATCACAGAGTATAACCTCGCTTGTATCATATTTCTACCTTATATTTCAAAATGTAAATAATTATCTCATTCGCACTGAAGATGGTTTCTGGTTAAGTCGAAATATGTTTCCAATAATAAATTTGTCCCTTATTTCAAATGCTTGATATCCATCTTAATTTAACAACATATCCTCAACAATACACCCATAATTAAATGCGTATCTCGAACAATCGTCATTTTATGCGATAATTCTATACGCAAAATATCATTAATTCGTACCCGTATCATTATATCATTTCATTCGCTGGTTTGCTTTATTGGCAAATAATTCAATAGTATTGTGTTTATAGTAAATTGTCAGTCATAGCATTCTGAAATCATGTTCAACTGAGGGCTACATTAGCACAAATTATGTAACTGCGTAACGTATATTTTAGAATTCCAAATTAAAGACTAGTCAGTGATGAAAAGTTCCTCTTATCACTTAATTAGCATTATGTGCTTAACAATACATCAATAATTAAACGCGTATGTTGAACAATCGTCATTTCATGCGATCATTCTAGACGCAAAATATCATTAAACCGTATATGTCTTTCGAACATTTTCAGCTATTTCTAAATGATGTGTTGACGTCTTATATAGTAACGTTTCAGTGATCATTGAATTAGTATTTTCACCTAAATTGTTACTCATTCTCAAATTAATCATGTTCAACTGAAAGCTATATTAGCTTAAATGATATTATACATATACCTATACTGATCGAATTAGCATTGTCACCACTCATTCCGTTTTATGATTGTCAGTTAGAGTACATTTTAGTACAAATGTAAGAGACACGGATCGGAAATGAATAATGTCGCCTCGCTTATACCATCTGTGCATGTTGTGAAAATTATCTGTGTATGTTGTGAAAATCATCTGTGCATGTTGTGAAAATCTTTCATGGTTATTGAAGCCATGCATTTTACAAATGGTCACTGAAGATCAATTTCAACAAGTTTCATGCAAACTTCATCAATACACTTAATGAACGGATAATAAAACGTGCCAGCTTAATTTCGTGTGGCAATTGAGCGGTATGGGGCCAAATGTTTTAAATCAATGTTTCCGCCCTAGAAAAAGCTGTTAATATTTCTTCCATGGCATACCTATCATCAGATGTATACAGATGATGACTGAAAAGCATAATTTAATCAGAGTTTAGGAGATAACAATCTCAACAGCTCTGCTCCAATTAGACCTATATATATTCTCGTTTGTTGACGAACTTCTTGAACTTGACCGCAGCTAGTGGATGCTTTCTTATATCTTTCGACGATGAAAGGTTTTGTATAAATTATACTAAAATCCCTTTGAACGACACTATTGAAATTTCGGTCATTAGGGCAATCTCATTCTCGACAAATCTCCTATTTTTTCTTCTAACAATAACGGCCTTATGCACATTGGCTTATTTTACGACCAAATTGATGGTGTGGCAAAGGACCCACTTTTAGCTTCGGTTCTGGCTGATCTTTTCATGGGCTACCATAATAATAAGTAAAGCGGAAAAAAGCCTCTTTTCTACCAATGACATCCTCTTAATGACATCTTTTGCATGTTTAAAATTGAAAATGTGCCAAACTATTTTTCGATTATTTAGACTCACGACATGATAATATCAGGTTTACTTTTGGAACGGAAGGACATTTCTTTCCCTGATATAATCATGAAGAAATATACTACTACGTCTTCGACCTCCGTGTATCACAAGAAATCTTACATCGACCTTTTGATGTACTATTTTAGTTTTACATCATTTCAGTATAAATCGGGTTTCATGAAAACTCTTATAGATCGCATCTACAAAGTTACCAATGCGGAGGACGGCCTTAACGATCTGTAAGAACTCACACACTTAACGCAACTCGTTCCCGAAAAATCTGGTTGAACGCGTCATGAATTTTTACAACAACAGGCAAAACGCACAAACAACAAACAATCTTAACGCCAATTCGCCTCAAGCAACAACAACCCAACGTTCAATATTTCAAACTACAGGGTGTCTCAAAAAAAAAGGAACCACTTAAATATGCAAGACATTAATACAGCTCTAAAGCGCAATAGATAAGCACCTCTGGGAATTGAAAATGGCTCTTAATCCTTCATTTAAAATGCTAAAAGTCTTTTTAGCTGAACTATGGTGCAAACCCAAATAATATAAATATTCTTGCATATTTAGGTGGTTGCGTTTTTTTAGACACCCTGTATATACAAAATGAATTAATGTCAAATTACTGAACAGAAACTCTTCTATCCATGGAAACACTTTGCCTCGGTCTCCAGGGTTAACTTTTCCTTCTGGCGCGTGCGCAATAGCGAATAGAACATTTATTATACTAACTTTGGCGGGCATTGCGGAGTATTTTGCGGGCTAAAATGATAAATTTGCAGGATTGAAATATATCTTAGCCCGCTGATCTAAGCCAATCAGTAGAATGACTAAAAAGTACATTGCATAATTTTTTATACAAAAATTACCGTTTAAAGTTAATATATAATAGTAATACAGTAATATGTGGCACAAGTTAAGTGCGTTATATCTTGGGTCTATAGAGAAACAAGAATGCGACAGAAAAAACTGTGCTAGCCGCTTTTAACACCCTGCCTGCATGTGCAAGCAAAGCAATTATAACCAACAATGAATAAAAGGCGCTTCCGGATGCTAGCTGGTACGCGATCTGGTCATAAGAACAAGATAAGATGCAGTTGAGTTTTGAAGCTCCTATCATCTTTATAAAATGTTTTTACTTTTGAATTTTCCAGCCTTTTGCTGATTAGCAAAACCCACTAATATATTGCGTATCTACCATCCGTAGTGCTTTGCATTCAGCAGTTATAGGAAAGGCGTGCAAAGATAGTTTTGAGAAATTTTAGGATTCAAATTTCCGAAAATGTATTAAGTCTATATGGTAAGAGATTAACGAGAATATATAAAATGCAATTCTAACATTTCTTTATTATATTGAAAAATAACGTGGAATTAAAGTGATATTAAAATGTAGTATTTATTACACAAATCACGAGGGGCTTTCACAGCATTTAAACTTTTTCCACTTTGAAAATTGTGTCGTGATTGAGACCAATTTTCGACACATCTGGGCACTCGCTCTTAGAAACTGTCTTGGTCTTTCCATCTGTTGTGTACAATTTCCAATTGCCTCCAAATACAATGATCGAAGACACACCTTTCGACCCTTCCCCAGTAGGAAATGTGGATTCAGTAGATGTGGTGTCTGTATAGGTCTATAGTAAGTAAAATATTACATGTGAACTATTTATAAAACTGTCTATCATTTACAACATAACACGGGTATTAAAAATCTAGGCAAGCTCAGAACGTATATTAATGTGAACAGAAACTGATTTGTTCAGATAAACAACAAAATAAAGTGCATATATGTATTTTCTGCATTTCAAGCAGCAATATGTGCATGCCACAAAGAGTTACGTACAAGGAAACACAAAGGCAATCATGTATAGCAATGCCATTTTGGTAATTACATTACAACTAAATAGAAAAGAGGTTGAGCAATCAATTGGCAACAAAGCCTTTAAATTATTGCTTAGCTTGGCCCTTAGCCTCGCCTCCATGTTGTTGTGACTAAATTAACACCGTGAAAAGCCTGTCATTCAAACATGTTTTGAACATTTAAACCGATTAAATTGATCGAAATAAAAATATGAATTTAAGACAATTCTTGCCAAATATATCTGGGAGAAATGATATAAGACGAACTTACGAAATTGTTCCCCCAAAAATGGTGGTGTTCAAACAAACAAATGCCATTCTCAACAAAATTGATGGTTTTTACAGCAGTGATTGGCGTTGCTCCGTTGTCGATCTGTCCAAAGGCATTACCGTCATATAGTGGAACGAATTTATAATTCCATTCGCCACTAGCTTGAGTATTGTAGATAATCCAGTTGCCATAGTCTACCACAGCCTTCACAAAATTGTTTTCTGCTGGGATAGATTCATTATCTTCCTCATACGTTTGCTCATTGCCATTCTTTTTTGTCAAGGTTATCTTATTTTCTTTGGGCATCGTTTCTTGAGGGAAGTAAAATGCTCTTTAATTAACTATAGTCTTTAATTAAGATTAAGATTATATAGCGGAATAACGAAAATATCGGAATAACTCAAAGGCGTCCAAAACTTAGCTGGCGTTTGAAATGAGTGGATGATCTACAGGAAGTCAACAAACATTGTCATTCGACTCTTTCTGCATAAAACTGATAAAACGGTCTTCATTATTCAAATATTTCAACCTACCTTTCAAGTTATGGTTATTTTCGAGATGAGGACAAATCAATTCAGCTCAGCTTCAATTCTGGCGATTCTTCTCTGATTCAACTCAACTCTGCTCTATATTTATAGTCAACGGCATACGTGCAGGAATTTCAGCATGAATCAATTGATGTGACTAGAATGTTCAAATCAATTGTTCTGCTGCTGTTTAAACGGTTCCTATTTTTAACCAATTCACAGTGGGTGCTTATGTCCACATCACGAAAGATGAATGAAATAAAGGCACTCTCATTGGGAGGTTTGTGGCCAGATGTCTTTGGATAAATTCAAAGTGTCCGCTTAAGAAAAAGCTGTGAAAATGGCATACCACTCGATTGCATACCTTGGATTACGAAAATTATAGCTAGTTTAATCAGAGTTTAGGACAAAAACAATATAAAAAGCTCTCCTCCACTTAGACCTATAGTCTCCTCTTTCAATTCATATAATTACAATTAGTTAAATACTTCATGCTCTGTACTCAACCCTCTTATTCCGCATGACTACATCACTAAAGATTCATTTTTACTCGTTAATTACCATCACGAGCTGCCATTACAATACGCATACGAAATAAATTCATGATAAGAGGAGCCTTTTATTTTGAAATTTGGAATTCTGCCAGGTTTGTGTTCATTTGCGAAATCTTTTGTCAATTTGATCTTCCTTTTTGAACTAAAAGCAAACCTGCACATGAAAATTTAATGTGAAAGTGATTGATTCATTTGTTAAGCCCTTTCAAAACGACCATTTTCTCTGATTTTTTCTCAAAATCAAATTTTGAGAAATTCAGCAGCTGTTCTCGTTTATCGCTAAGGATTAATAGAATTGCACCCATACCAAGCTGTATTGATTACGTACGTATACTACAGAGAATATCAAACGAAATCGCCGCTTGTTGACACTGCTGGCTGACCTTTCCCGTATTGTTGGCGTGCACTTCATTACCCGTCGGTCTCTTAGTCTAGATGAGACACAAAGCCCATCGTGTGAGAGTTTTTTACCGTCAGCAGGTAAAACACATGATTTCTACTATTTACTTCCTACAAAAACAAAAACATTTTCAGTTTTATGGATGCTATACCTATAGTGATTTAAAATGTATTGTGGTGTATAAATTTACTTGGCAGGATATATTTCCTGTTACATTGGTAAACAACCCGCGCCATCTTGCCGCAAGATCAAATAACACACCACCTCTGAGAAAAGCTCACACATTTACAAACACCTACAGAACCCTAACTGCTGAAAATGAATTAGCCACACCCGCTCTTGCTTTTTCAGTCTAGACACTGCAAACACCTCCACTCTTAAACTCAAGGAAGCTCTGCAAATTCGCAAGCACAAACCAGACCTATAACAAACAGGTTCAGCATTTTAATACAATTTTCCAGTTATAATTTTGTGTTGTCTTGTCTTTGTCCTGTGACTTGTATCATGTTATGTTGTCAATCATGTTTGTAAATATTCTAGAGAGTATCAAAGAGTATCACAGAGTATAACCTCGCTTGTATCATATTTCTACCTTATATTTCAAAATGTAAATAATTATCTCATTCGCACTGAAGATGGTTTCTGGTTAAGTCGAAATATGTTTCCAATAATAAATTTGTCCCTTATTTCAAATGCTTGATATCCATCTTAATTTAACAACATATCCTCAACAATACACCCATAATTAAATGCGTATCTCGAACAATCGTCATTTTATGCGATAATTCTATACGCAAAATGTATTTATTATTAAATAATAAAGGAAGTTAATGTTATTCGGGTCTTCGTATCGTAGTGTCGCGGGTCCTAGGACGCTTGTCTGGTCGGCTACTTGCCCCCTCCGGTGAGTACAAATATGAGCCAAGTTTGCCTGATCGAGTTGTTAGTTGCTTGCGTGAATCGATGCCGTCACAACCTTGTCCAACAAAATCATTTCGCTATAATGGCTCAGGAAAATATGTCTCTTCAAGGAGTTGCTTTGAGTTTAACGCCAACTAGCTCACCAGTCGTGTCTGCTGTTACAACTTCAACAGTGGCATCGCAGTTGATCGCTACGGCTCCCCTTGCCGTTCGCTCGTCGCCATCTCGGCAATTTCAGCCAAGTTTACACCAGCATATTGCTTCACCGTTATTCCCAACTCGTGTTCCATCGCCGGCTATTGCAAATCAACAAATCGTCAGTGTTGCTTCTACCGTTGGCCATCGAGTCATCCAAGTTTGACACCATTTTTCGCTCAGCAGCCACCACAACCCGTGTTACTTCAATCAGCGACGCCTACGGTTCCCCAACAACAAGATCGTGCCGTAACTGGATATTGGCAACCGCCTCAACAGACGCTGCAGCAGCCGTTGTATCGGATTCAAAATCCTGTCCCTTCAGGTACGCCATATTTGTTTTCTTCGTCTACGTCCCCGGGCCCCGGGATGGGGTTTGTTTCGCCGGGTGTTTTTAGCCTCTGGTGGTATTGCCTCGCCCCCTCGCTTCTCTACGCTTACCGTATCGGCTTTTTCTCTCTTCGTGGTCGGGCCTGGTTTCCTCCCGTATCCCCAAAGCTTATGGCATCAATTTTCAACGGCGAGTTGGTCGAGTTGGCCTCTCTTATCGAAGAAACTTCAGTTCATGACGCTCCTTCGTTTACCATCGGGGATAACGAATTAGTTTTGCGACCGTCAAAGCGCCCTAAGGAAATTACAGATATTATGACTTGGCTCCCAGCCTTTTCTGTTTATATCCTCGTGATGACGAATTTTTGGCCGTCTCGCTCCCCGGATTTGCTTCGCTACCAGCTACTTATTTTGCGTTCCGCTCAGAAGCATCTTGGTTCGGGGTGGATCGCGTACGATCGCGCTTTTTGTCGCCATGCAGCTGCTCTCCGCCTCACCGATTGGTTACAACTCCACCCGGAGCTGTATAATTTTCATATATTCGGCGCCGGTAGTTTTCTTCTACTCCTGCTTCGCGGGTATCTACTTCGTTTTCCTCGTCCTCCAGCTCCCTTGAAGTGTCCGGTACCCCGTCGTCGTCCATTACTTGTCACTCTTGGAACGCTGGTCGGTGCTCATCGCAATTCCTCTGGTGTCTGTTCCGTCATGCCTGTGATTTTCCGGGTTGTTCTGCAATCCATCGTCGTAGCGTGGCCCACCAGTCTACACGTTGTCCTCGTTCACCATCTCGCTCGCAACCCGCGAAGTAGCGTCTATCATCAGACACCTCGCGTCGTTAGTTAATACGTCGTGGTCGGTTCGTTTGTTCCCGTTGTTCCCGGACGTTAACATTGTTCTGTGCGCTATTTTAGTTTTTTTTTGTTTGTAATTCGTGTTCGGTTATGAATTTGCTGAATAAAATAGTTATCTAGCTTCACTTGTGATTTAGTTGCGCACTGTTCGTACCGTTCGCACCGTTCGCACCGTTCGCACCGTTCGCACCGTTCGCACCGATCGCACTGGTCGCACCGTTCGTACCGTTCGCACTGGTCGCTCCGTTCGTACCGTTCGCACCGATCGCACTGGTCGTACCGATCGCACTGGTCGTACCGTTCGCACCGTTCGCACCGATCGCACTGGTCGCACCGTTCGTACCGTTCGCACTGGTCGCTCCGTTCGTACCGTTCGTACCGATCGCATTGGTCGCACCGTTCGTACCGTTCGCACTGGTCGCTCTGTTCGTACCGTTCGCACCGATCGCACTGGTCGCACCGTTCGTACCGATCGCACTTGTCGCACCGTTCGTACCGTTCGCACCGGTCGCTCCGTTCGTTTCCGCTCGCTGTTCTTGCTATTTTTCTGCTCCGTTGTAGGTGCTTTCGTTCGTGCTGTAGATCCACCGTTGCCGGAGTCCCGCATCCTGTTTCCGTTGGTCTCCCGCGTTTCGCCGCTTCAATACGTCGAGTTTCATCGGGAATTAATCAACCATCCCAATCAAGCTATGGTTCGCTACGTGTTGGATGGTATAGCTCACGGCTTTCCGTCGGGTTTTGATCCTTCACTAGTCTCTTTACGACCATCGCACCGAAACATGAAATCGGCCTTGCAACATCCCGATGTTATCGACAAATATTTGGCAAATGAAATTTCGCTTGGTCGTGTCGTGGGTCCTTTTGCCTCGCCACCGTTTCCTAATCTACAGTGCAGCCCGTTTTGGGTCATTCCAAAGAAAGGCCAGCCTGGTAAACGGCGTCTCATTCAGGATTTGTCGTCACCCGAAGGCCATAGCGTTAATGACGGCATCCCCAAGGATCCTTTCTCGTTGACTTACATCTCCGTCGATCATGCCATTGCTCGTTTGTACAGCTTGGTCCGGGTGCTCTTATGGCCAAATTTGACGTAGAATGTGCGTACCGTAACATCGCTCTCAGACCTGACGAACGTTTCTTATTTGGCATGTGGTGGCCTGAGTCATATTTCGTCGATTTGGCTCTTCCGTTTGGTCTGCGTTCCGCCCCATTTATCTTCAACTCCGTTGCCGAAATGGTGGAATGGATTCTTAAAGCTAATTATCGCGTTCGTTTTCTCCTTCACTACCTCGACGATTTCCTGACCCTTGGCCCCGGCAACTCCACCGAGTGCGCTAGTAATGTAGCCATCGCCAGGTCCTTATTCCTCCGTTTGGGTTTGCCTCTCCATCCGTCAAAGTGCGAGGGTCCTACTACTACGTTAGTCTTTTTAGGTGTGGAACTAAATTCTCTCACCCAGTCTGCTCGGTTGCCATCCGCTAAAATTTGTGGCCATCGTAGAGCTTCTTAAAAAATGGAATCGTAAGTCTTGGTGCACTCGTCGAGAGTTAGAATCCTTTATCGGCTCGCTTCACCACGTTACGAAAGTTGTTCCGCCCGGTCGCACGTTCCTCCGGCGTATGATTAATTTGCTCTGCGCTTTTCGTTCACCTACCCACCCTATTCGGCTCAATACGGAGTTTTTTCTTTTAATGTTTACCTAGCTGCTGTCCGTTCCTATCATATTGACCTTGGCTTCCCGGATCCCACGAAAGGGAAACCACGGTTTCGTCGTCTGCTTCAGGGCATCCGTCGTTATCGGTCTGGCGTTTCCTCGTTACGCTGCCCCATAACCCGCGATCTATTGGATGTTATTCATTCGTCGACGGTTGGTGATCT